AGCCCAACCTTGAAAATATACCAAGAAATCATCAGACCTTAGTTTTGACTGCCTTATTTTGCCTGGGATTCTGGAGCAACCAAAAAGACCTTGATTTGCCAAAAGAACACTCCAAGTTTTAGAGTTCTCACCTAGAAACTATGTGAGATGAAACAATGACAGGACAAGGGGCAACGGGAGCAAGCTGGAGCATAGGTGGTTCAATCTGAACATAAGGAAAAACTTTTTCACTGTGAGGGTGCCAGAGCACGGCCCAGGCTGCCCAGAGAGGTTGTGGAGTCTCCTTCTCTGCAGACATTCAAAACCCGCCTGGCCGTGTTCCTGTGTGACCTGGTCTGGTGATCCTGCTCTGGCAGGGGTTGGACTGGGGGAGCTTTCGAGGTCCCTTCTAACTCTTAACATTGTGTGATTCCGTGATTAACATACCAGCAGCCCAAAGTTCAGCATCCGTTCAGGTTTACTTTAATGATTTTTCAATTGCCTATGGATCACATAAATGTCACTGAAACATCCTTTTCAGTAAGACTTCCTGTAGAGTTCCATGACAGGAAGAAGGATGCTGAACATTCTTTTTCTCAGCCAGAAAAGCTTCTTTCCTTAATTGGGAATGCCAATTTTAATCCAAGTTTTTATGCTATACCATAAGATGAATTTAAAATGTAGGACTTAACAAATATTATAATTTTGCTCTTAACATTATATAGTCCTACCATATTTTGTCCTCATTCCTGACATATCTTTAGGGAAATCATGTGGTGTGAAGCAGATATTTTGTAATGTATTTTTATGCCCAGACAAGATATAAAAAGAAATATATTTAGATTCTGAATCACTTTGACCCAAAAAAAGCATATGATATTTCATGGTTTCAAAATCTGGCCAGTGTCCAAACCTTGGTCTTGTTTCCAGTAAAGCTGTAATTTACAAGTCTTAAAGCTTTACTACCACATCTGTAAACTGCAGAAGATACTCCAAAATTTCCATAGTTAAAAAGTCATATGCCTTCTCATCTTTTGGGGTGATTCAATCCAAGTCAGTCTCCTGGATTAACCTGCTTCTATAGGCAAGTAGAAGATTTAGTTCAAATAATATAAGTTTGGTCCATATGGAATTACCATTATTGTTACTACTTGTAAGACCTCTTTTTATAGGAAAAAAAATTCCTTCACATTTACTAGCTTTCTCATAATCCTTCATACGCTCCTTACATTTTAGTTTGGAGCTCATGTAATTAGAAGCTGGATGAGCATCAGAAAGCAATAAACACTAATAATGCAAATAAATATTTAAACCTTAATAGTGAGAAACAATAAAAACTCTTATCTTGAACATCCCAACGTGCATTGCAGTCAGATGGCTCCTAGAGCTACTAACACGTAGGTGTCCTTTTTTTATTTCTTAATTTTTGTAATTCCAATTTAAAAAAAGTTTTCATTGTTTTCAACTGGGAATCACCCTCATGGTTTTTTCTTTTCAGTAAGAAAACATGATTATTTCAGGCCAAATCTAAGAGTGTTTTGGTTTGTCTGCCAAACCCCAAAACGTTTTACAAGAAACTTTGCTATACTACAGTTCAGTGCTGTTTACAAGCCCAGCTTTCTGTAACAGTGTTTAGTGCAGCTCATAGAAACACCATTAACACAAAAGGGTAATGGGTTGAATCCTCTCTCAGGAAGGCACAACAACATTTCCTGCTCATGATTACCATGCTGCTCTGCATGAAGGTAATTTCTGGTAGCACATGGATCAGTGTGGCCACGTTGCATTGCCATTCCTGAAAGAATTCATGTTAGAGACTGATCTTCAGTGAAAAAGGAAATTAAAGTCTGCAAATTGCTCACCTGGGCAAGGGCTAATTTTCTAAAAAAAAACCTCCTTGGAGTTTCAGAAAGGTCTTGGCACTCTTAGCTGCAGCTAAGGAAAAAAATGAGCAGTTCTATGTTATTCTTTTTGTAAGCTGACCTATGAAAGTCTGCAGCTCCCTGCAGTTACATCACTGAGTCACTGGTATGACATTTTCAGCAAGGGTCTGTTGGAGGAGCTGGACTCTTCAGACTATTTCTTTCTCCAAGTCATTGTGTGGATTAACAGATTGAAGCAGTTCTTTGTCTAATAACACAGCTATTGGAACTTTCAACTTATGACAGCCATGGAGAACTTCAAACTGTAATTTTAATTCCCCCTCTCACTACTGGCAAGCCAAAAGCTCACCCATTAAAGCACCACAAGCATTTTCATAGTTGATGTATAAGGAAAACAAGTACTTATTAGACTTGTTTTCTGTAGTATGGAGGATGACAAAGCGCCTTTGCACTACACAAACACAGAGAGCAAAAAGAAAACGAAAACAAGCATCAAACAAAGAAAGGATGTGTACAAGGGAACAGACACAAGTTACTTTGTTTTTTGGCTTTCTTTTTGTGCTACAAATAGAACACAATGTTTATCTTTATGTAAAGACTACTCACCAAAGCCTGAACAAACCAGAGGTTAAGAAAATCAACATCATTAAAACTCTTTCCAATTTTCAGTTATCTAGATGCACTTTCCCAGTAATATTTTCTTCAGAAACTGAGTCCTCTCCCAGCAAAAAAATCCAACAGAAATGCTCTTAAGTAGACATTGTAGCAGAGAAATGATCAGACTTAGTCCTAGCTATCACAGTTAAAAGTGCCATTAAAGAAAAATGTGAGACACTGAAGCTAAGAATTTTGACAACCAAACCTTCGCTAACTCTGAAGCTTTTTAAATCCCAACTCTTGTAAAAGGTTGAACAACTTTCTATAATAATGCCTCCTAGCTATGAAACATAACAGTGTCTGGTGCTACTTGGAATGTACAATAAAGAGCGACAAACAGAGAACAGTGCAAGAGTTTTCTTGCCAGAACTGCCATCCACTTAATCAAATTAAATATGTGGTTTGTAGCACATCTTACCATTACACTAAAATAAAACTTTGAATAAAGTTTGTAAAAGACTGACATGTGCCAAAAATACAGTCTGATCTAAACCCAGCATGCTTTCACATTAGGGTTCTTTGTACTGGGTATGATTTAGATGCTACTACTGCAGATGTATAAATAAGGGAGTTTCCCATCACTAAATACGTTTGCAAGATAAAGACTTATCTGTAAATGTGTCAGATGTGCCTTGTAAATTATCAAAATCTTAACAAGAAAACTACATCACAGAACCTCCAGATACATTTGCAGATATAATACAGAAAGAAACATGCTATGATTTTAGATGTTTTCTGAAAACAGCTATAGACATGAGAGTTGTGATGTATAAAAAATGTGCTGACTTAGAAGATAAAAATACAATACGATATTTCTCATATTAATGTTATATTAAGGAACTTTTATGCAAAAGAAAGATAAGAACTAAAATTTAACTAATGTGCGTTCTGTTCCAACACAGATCATTTAAACTTTTTTTCCTCAGTGAATAAAGTACTAAATTTTCACCTCCAAGAATATTTCATGATTTGTTAGGTCTTATTAAAACAAAAGCCACCTCCCTGACCATTTTAGTGGTGTTGCTGAACAACTGTTGCAACTTGAATTGGTATTACCTGAACTTAGGACGGAGAGCTATGCAAATTTTTCTGTATGTGGTTAATAAATGCCTTAACTTATTGGCACTACCATTCTCTCTTCCTACTGAATACATCTTCCTTGATGCAACTTTGGGACTGTATTTTTCTTTCTCACAGCCAAATCACAGTGGTGAGTCATAGTCAGTTTTGTTATTGATTACTACAGTCAAGTCTTTTTACCACGTGTCACTTCCAATTTATGAGCCCCATTTAGAGAGAAATTCCTATCAGCTGTATGACCTTGCAGTTCATAGTATGAGATTTCTACCTGTCTCTGTTGCTGTGTTTTCAAGGTCATCTACCTCTCAGTGTTTAACGTTTTGGTCTCCTCAGTATTAGCAAATGCCTCCCAAATTTTGTCAGTCCTGTACCTCTCCTACCTGCTTCTTTAATCAAAATATTAAAACAAGATTAGCCAAAAAACAGTCCCCATGGAACATCATTAGTAAACTCTCTCCACTCTAAAAGTTTCCTTTCCAGCACGAAGAATTGTAACCTCTCATTTGTCCAGTTCATCGCACCCTAAGTTTTCTTCTACTAATCCCCATTTTTTCTAGCGTAAGTAATAATTTATTACAGGTATATTTTCAGAGAAATAAAACAAACAGTCTGAAGTCAGATTAGAAAGAAACATCAAGCTTGCATGTCACGATATGACAATGCTTTTTGTGAGCTGCTGCTTTGCTTTACTCCATTTTTCAGCAATTTCACTATATTCACGTTGCTAAGACCACAGCTCGTCCTGCCTCCACTTTTTAATTACTTATACCATCCCAGCTACTTAACAGACATTTCTGAAAATGCTGTCTTACATGTACCAAGCTATTTTATCTAAAAATAAAACCACCAAAAAGACTACAACTAGAACAAGAACATTTCATCTTGCCTTTTCAGAGAAAAAGAACAAATTACAACGTGGTCTAATAGTTATAAGCAGTCACCTAAATCTCTAAGCAGAGTTATAACCCTGAATAAAATGGTTATTTTAGTGTAATGATGCTTGCTCAGCAACTACTAGTAAATACACGTTAGTAAAATATGCGCTGTGACTCATCAGCCCATGAATGTGCTTGTCTGTGCATGCACTAACACTGTAAAGTCACACCACCTGTACTGTGTCTGTAAAATACTTCTGCATTCTTTATGGGTCCGAAGCAACAAGATCAGTATTTCCTGTGTTATCATTCAAATAGATGCACAGCTAGACAGTCTCAAAATTTTGAAGGAGATCACTTTTTGGAAGCAACTGTACAACTTAGGCCTACCTGGAGTAGACAGTACTTATACATAGCAAGAGTTTCAATCTTACTAGTTTACTTTGTCTCACAAACTGTTTCACTAGTAACTTCTTCAGGGTTTAGATTCCATCCTGCTATGACTGTTGTTATGATTTTATTTCAGAGGCACTGGGATCACAGAGTCAGCACACTAGAACAAAGAAAGATCAGCAGAATTTAGAAACCAAATTTCGACTCTATACAGACACAACTGAAGAAAGCTGTCAGATTTTTTTTAATCAGTTGGAAAGTCTTGACAAATGCGGCTTCAATGCCTCTCTTCCTCTGGTGATGATAGTCCATGGCTGGTCGGTATGAACTCACATTTTATTTTTAATTCAAACTGCATCTGATTTGATATACTTTTGTTCTCATTACGCTAGTGCCAAAAGTAACTTCAGGAGAAAGACTGCGGTTAGAAAGATGGCAGATTTCCTTGGTAGCAATCATGGCTGGTAACAATACAGAGTGGATATTCCCCACTGAGATTCTGAGGGAACAGTCTATGAGCAATATTTCATATGGGAGTCTCATGCCAAGGATTAGATTCAGCCCTGGTTTAAAGCCAGCAGAGTTTGAACAAGTAGATGATTTAATATGCTATGCCTCTGGAGGACTGAATACCAGTTTCATTTCCCTGGTATGTTCACTGCCAGATATTTACAGACTTACTGAAAAGAAGTGCACACAATCTCCCCACATCTTTCTCACAGATACACCTTTAAAGAGAACTTCTCGATAAGCCCCTCAGCTGAAAATGAAGCCTTCAGCATCAATGATTTATCAGCTGCTCTTGAATAAAAGCAGAAATTTTCTGGGCACTTGTCTTTCTTTTTTATCAGTAATAACAATTATCTCAGGAGGAGTGAAAATACTTAGGGACATCGTTTCACTGATAGGAGTTCATAGTACGAGACTTAAATTATTAGACAGTTCTTATATTGATTATTTTTATTTGTACACCAAAATCCAAAGATTTTCAGCACTGAGGCATGTGGAAGTCCCATAAATCTAGACATCAGCATTAAGCACTCCTTGTTTATATTATGGTTTTTCTTTCCTTGAGTTTTTCACAAGAAATATTTGGCAGAAACTGCTTTGCCTTATGAAGGCGGGGTTTGTTTTTCCTTATTTTTGTTTCTTTTTTTTTTAATAAAACAGGTAGATGGGATTTTAGAAGGTTGGACTTGGAAAATGGCAGCAGCTCTGAAGACTCAGCATAAACAAATTAACGTGATCATAGCAGACTGGCTTACATTTGCCCACCAGCACTATCCCATTGCTGTACAGAACACACGCTACATAGGACAGGAGATAGCAGACTTCCTGGAATGGCTAGAGGTAAGAGCCCCCAGACCAACACGTGTTTTTCTGGAAAAGACCCATTTACCTATTCTTATGCTTCTGCCACCGTTCTGAAACACTACGCTGGTCAATGCTGTTCATTTCAGTCGCTTACGTTTCTTTAGTGCGTTGCAAATTTTTCCTTCCATAAACTTTCATACGAGTTCGTAAAACTTTCATCATGCGAAAGAAAAAAGCAAGTGGTCTTGTTTATGAAAATATTTCCATAAACATCTTTAAATGTAAAATAATTTCATGCTACTTTAGCTTTTCAATTAGCATGCATGTGGACAGCTGATAGTCCCACACATAGAAAGCAGGCACATGTTATCATTTGCAAGTGGTTATGTTATCTGGCTTATGTTATCTGTGCTTAAATTCTGCTTTTAATGCACAATTCAAACGTGACATTGTGTCTGATTTTTGCCTCAGTTTCCCAAAGATTATTCTAAAATAATGGCAGAATGTAAAGAGAAACCTTTCAAGAGGGCAGACATGCCTCACAAAGCAGATGATATGGAGGTAGCAGTGAGTGCAGAGCCATGCTAATGCAGTGACTACTTATCAAAACTCCTGCTACATAGGGAGCAGTGGCCATGGTTGGATTGAAAAGGCTGCAGACAAGTCTGCAAGGGACCACTGGTCTCCAGTACTAGTTAAGAAAAGGCAGAAAGCAAACACTAGAATAAGAACCACTCATACAAACCAGGCACTCTAAGGAACTCCTGATTCATCTATCTCTAGTACTAATTTAAGTACCTAACTTAAAATGAAATTATACATCTGTACCTCCCAATGAATTTTTGAATACATTAATTGATCTAATTTACAGTGAAGCCTAAGGTGGAAGGGAATTACAATGCAAAGCTGAAAGACTTGTAACAAAAAAAATCATTGAAGGGCTAAGCTGCTTTCAACAGGAATGGCAGGGCTAGAAGAAGTTATAAGATACCATGCCCAGTTAGGAACAACCAGCTCAAAAGAGAAGGCAGAAAAGCCAGAGTCATTATTTTTCATTGTGACACTACAAGAAACCTTAACTCGGTCAGATGCAGTTTAAGCTGCTGGAGCCTAAAGTCCCATTTTGAAGCTGTTTCATTACAGAATGAATCAAAGGGTGGACTTTGTTCCATTCCCAGGAGTACACATCACACTGTCAACAGTAAAGACAATCTGAGATTTCTCCGGTATCAGCAAACAAATCAAGGCTTGAATAAATGACTCCTTGCTTCAGCATTGTAGGTTACTTCTCTGGTACCGTGATACATGTTTTAAATATACGATAAATTTTCACAGCATTTAATTGCATGTGTTCAAGTAGTAACCCTTCCTTCCGTTGAGAAGCACCCCTCCTGAGTCTAACAGTTTAAAAAGCCTTCATTCCAACTCCCATAACTATCTACACGCTATCCTTCGCTCTGTGTACAGGCAGGTATTTGAAATATCCCCAACGGATGTAACAAAACCAGTTTGTGCAGCGTTGTTGTGCAGTGCTGTGCAACATTTTAATAACAAAAAGTAAATCTTAGCGCTCTTAGTCTAGGAGTTAGTAGGGCATGGTCAGTAACGATCTCAGTAGCATCCATCTCAGTAACAGCTGCCAAGAAAACTGATCAGATCTTGTGACTCCCAAGAGCTGCCTCTCATAAAAGAATGTTGCCAAGTTTTGCCTCATCTTCACAAGAGACAGGTATCGAGACTGGAAAGCCAGTCCACTGGGACATGCAATATCCACAATGAAATGAAAACGGAAGTTTGCCTTTTCTGTGAGAAAAATATGCCACATTTTTTCTTTACAAGTCAGAAAAACTTTGAGCCCTGCAGCTCAGGTGAAATGCTCAAGATCTAGATAGTATTGATTAGGTAGAAAGAAAGGCCTGAGGCCAATTCTGCTTCAATAGGTTTGCTTCAGAACAGATATCCAGTTCTGTACTAATCAGTCCAAGGAATGTCATTAAAAAGCAAGGCACTTTCTATAAGGGATTGTTTTAGACTGAAGTTAAAGGACAGATATCCTTTTCATAGGAAAGTCAAATGCTGCAGACAAAAGGCAACGCACGTCTGCATCACTTGCAACAAACAGTAACAAAACCCCTACTCTCTGTGATGATGGTGTTCCTGAGCATAGCACATAAGTAGCAGTGCCCAAATGTGCGGCATTTTCCTGCTGCATGAAAAGCTGGCAAGGAATACCATGCAATCAGTGAAGAAATTCAGTGCATGATCCATGCACCTCATTCAACCTCCATCATCAACATACAAACTTCTTGCATTGTAATTAATGGAATTCCTGTATCGTAGTAAATATCTCACCATTACTTTTCACATTTTCTGCATCTAAATCAAGCTGCCGCTATCTTCCAGGAATCTGTTCAATTTTCCAGAAGTAATGCTCATCTAATTGGGTACAGCCTAGGAGCTCACGTTTCAGGATTTGCTGGAAGTTATATCAGCGGTACGAACAAGATTGGAAGAATTACAGGTATAAGACTTATAACCAAGATATGTAACAGTCAACTGATTTAAGTTACATAGCTATTTGACATAGCAATGATGTATTTAGCTGCTGAATAGCCATATTTGTCACAGTTTAGAAGTTTCATCCCATTGGTTTAAAAATTAGATTTAGAAAAATGAATGAAAACATTTTTCAAAATGAAGTCTCATAGTATTACTACCTCTGATCTTTCCTACCTCAGTCCAAATTATGACATACAGAATATATATGCCTACATGCCAAGAAGCAGATTCTACACAATGTGTTGTGATATTACACCTGTGTATACCCTGAAGGACTTTAGTTCATCAGTTCCGCTTGCTCACACCATATTGGCACATCCAACCTTGATAATGGATAAGTAAAAAAACATTAAACCATGTTATTTATTTTAACAGCTACGTGCATTCCTCAGTCAAAATTATTCAGACTTGTAACAATGAGTTCCAAAAATTCTATTAACAATAAAAGGAAATGCATGCCTTCAGGGTGATATCTCTACTTGTAGCCTGTGTTATTAGTCTTGTCCAGTTACATCTACACAACTGCATTAGTCCATAATACCAACTGAGTAATCTCGAATTTAGAAGCTTGCCCTCAAAACTAAAGGCAGCTTTAAACCACACAGGCAGTCCTTTTCCTAGATCAGTTCCCAACCAAAGAGCACCATACAAAAATGAACTAGCAAACTAAATAAGACTGATTTTTTTTTCTAAATACCATAGTAATTTGCGTTGAAGGCTTTTAAAGTTGAAAGGTTATTATAAACAACATCTAGCAGACACAGCTCTTTTAAGCAATAAGTGAAGCTTTATAAAGTTTCAGGTCTCAAATGTGGGCTAAAAGTCAACCTTGCTGTGGGAATGGTGTCTTCAAAAGGGGCCTCTGAAATGCATGACCTCCAGAGTATGAAAGAACAAAATCAAGTAAACATCCCTCAAGTGACAAAGCAGTAGCGAGCATGGTTTGTCTGTAACAAACAGCTCTATCTCTGGATCTGTGTCCTTGTACGTGTAGCAGTCACTCTTTATTACAGCACCTGTGTTTACTTTACCTTTTGGTGTAGCCACGTACCCTCCACAGGACAAGTGTTCCCAGCGTTGTTTCTATCACTGAAAGACCTTGTAAAGTAGTAGTGCTGTCTGTTTTAAAATATTTATCACAGACTTTACTCATAACAGAAACACTGCAGCCCATCTGCACTGTATCACAACTGGATTATTTGCATTTATTGCAGGCCTTGACCCCGCCGGTCCCTTGTTTGAAGGAATGTCACCAACAGACCGTTTATCTCCAGATGATGCAAACTTCGTCGACGCAATCCATACGTTCACTAAACAGCACATGGGTCTCAGTGTTGGCATCAAGCAGCCTGTGGCTCATTTCGACTTTTACCCCAACGGAGGCACCTTTCAGCCTGGTTGTCACATCATGCACGTGTATAACCACATTGCACAATACGGAATCACTGGTAAGAACCAATGGCACAAAACAGCATTGCAGCTGCACTGGCAGTATGTCTAGTCTTAAACAGTATCTAATGGGAGTATTATCTCCCATTATATGCAAGGAAATTTCTTTTCTAGAAATTGGTTATCTGGTTTTTATGTGTATTCAGTTCAAAGTGTTTTGACTCCAGCAAGGAATTTGGCTGCCTAGCACTTCTGAAACTGATGCCAAGAGCATCCTGCTGTCAAGCACTTCCGAATACTTTCAAAGGTGTTTGGTTTAGTGGTAGAGGAAATGAGAAAACTTATTCTAATTAAGCCAGATTAATCCAGTATGCCATTAATTATTTCAAATCAAATAAAACACAAGGCTGTACTACTCACCTCCTTAGTTCACGTGTTCCCAACTCTTCATCCTTCAGCCGTGCACACGATGATCTCTCTTGGACTTGGCTGCCAGTGTTCTAGGCTAGGTTTTATATAGGGAAGATAATTCCTACGTACCTAAACGTAAAGGTAGAGAGAAACTGATGCAACATACTAAAAAAAGATAAAGTATTGCAGTGACAACCACAACTGTTCACTGAAAAACCCCAAAAGGGTACTGTTCACCTGGCATACTCTATTGCAAAAATATTTCTTAACTATCATCACGCTATGTAAAAGTAGGCCTTAGTTGTTAGCAGGTAATTCAAGACAAACATGAAAGCAAGCATCAGCTAGAAATCTTATCAGCAAGGACATAAAAACAGTCCATCATAAAATATCCTGACTACACAGAAGACAGTAACTTTCATAATTTTATGGCGCTTAAGGAAGAAAAAGATACTTCTCATAAAAGCAGAACTATGTATTCGATAGTTTTTAATGTATTTAATACATTTTTTGCTCCTTTTCCCATAGTAGTGGTTGCAAACAAACTTTGACACGAGAGTCTGTCACTTTGATAGGGTAAAATACGAGACTAATACATAAGCATCTAAAAGACAACAGCATTCAATTATTCAAAATGAGATTGCTGTCTTTAATGTGGCATGATCTGAGAGGCATAGCCTTATATATTAATATTTCATACTGACCAAAGCAGCCAGAACTATGAAATCAAGGTTCATATTCATAGTCTTAAACATTCAGGCTAGAGAAGTTTAAGGAGCAAGTTATTAAATTTTTATTATCGTGGGGGTTCAGACAAACTATTTTTGGATGATCCTAAAAAAAAGTGAAGTTGCTACAATGTATGATTTCTAAGGCAAAATCATGATATTTTAGTAGTAAAGGGAGTGGGGGGGAAATAATAATATATACTTATAGTTGGTTACTGTAATCCTCTGTAGTTGAAATGGTAAAGAGGAAGAAGGGCGTGCAAAATGTTGTTGTTTGCATTTTTTTAGGCATCACTCAAACAGTGAAATGTGCCCACGAGAGGTCAGTTCATTTGTTCATCGACTCTTTGCTTCACAATGATAAGCAAAGCACAGCGTACTGGTGTAACGACATCAACACTTTCAACAAAGGGATGTGCCTCAGCTGTAGAAAGAACCGGTGCAACACCCTGGGCTACAACATCAGGGAGGAAAGGCTTCCAAAAAGTAGACGACTCTTCCTGAAAACAAGAGCACATATGCCTTTCAAAGGTTTGTGGGAATACTTGTTACAGTCTCCAGACTGATCACAAAGTGTGAAAATGAGTCTAAGCTTTGTGATCCCATTTAGTCATTTATTAAAGCTTCTAAAAATCTATAGGAATAATTAGTTTGCTGAGACAAATGAAAATCTCAGTGGGGCGTCTTTCTGTGGGAAAAAGCATCTTGCACGCTTGCCACGTGCTAACTGTGGCTCTGAGGTCTCAGAGATGCTTAGGGTCCTGATCTACTGGATTTTCCTACTGCTGGTCTGTGCAAGTTTGTTTTAACATATGCAGGCATACAGCCAAGCCAAAAAAGCAGTCTAATTGCTCTGGGAGGCCTGTAAAACCTCCCTTTCCAAGTTTGCCCAAATTTTATCTGCAATTAGTCTACAAGATGACATATAAATTATTACTTTTCGAACAATGGACAGACAACAGAATAGCATGGACTTTTACAAGGCAGAACTGTAGCACTAAAATAAAGTGACTGGTACTCCAGCTTTATCTCCACTGAATTACTTTATCGAGAGTACAAAGCAACAATTTTGTAAGCTCAGAGACACAATCAATGTGGTTTCTTGCATGTTACCAGACAGAGGGGAAGTAGTCTGACAGGGAAATGGGGCCTACCAGTCTCCATTACAAAACGGCTGTGGCCTGCCTGTAAGCTGGTTACGACTCGGCTGTTGGACAGCCCAGAATGTCTGCTGCTGTTGAGAAGACATTCACCCACCAGTGGGAAGGCTTACATACGTTTTAAGACAAGAATAAGCAAGACTGTGTGGGACAAATGGCAGGGACAGGCTTCTTTTTAGAGACTTTTGGTAGAGGGAACTGTGGCACCTCACCACATGTTCCTCCTCACCACCTCCTTCCCTGGTTGTCGACGAGGCTCGCTGCCAGCGTCAGTGCAGTGCACTTTGGGCAGGGCTCCTGCTCAGGGCCACAGGCCACCACGCACAGAGGAGACTCGCGACGTGTGCCCACCTCCTTGCCACAGGAAGAGCAGCCCGCTCTTCCCACAGCCCCCTCAGCGCCCACTGTGCCACAGCCCCTGCCCTCAGTGCTGAGGCAGCACAGGGCCCTGTCCCCAGGCTTCTCCAGAACAGCCCCACGGCCATGGGTGTCCCTCACCACCTCACCTGCTGCTGGGACTGGCCCAGCCTGCCTGGCACAGCCAGAAAGAGGGTGCCCCTCTCCTATTGAAGGGGGTCAGCCTGCTTGCTACCTACCCAAGACATCGGGGCTGGGGAAGTGCTTTGACAGTCAACAGTGCACCCCTGGCATGGACACTCAAGGACCTTCCAGTCCTGAGGAGAAAAGCTTAAACATGCCAATTGCATTACACATCTTGTTTCCCCACGGTGTCTGCTGCTCAACTGCAATGTCCTAGATTTAAAAAAAAGAAAAAAAAAAGGTACTTTCAAAACTATTTTAAAAGTCTTCCACTAACTCAGTGTTGAAGCACACAGTGATGACTCCAGAGGATCTGCTCAGCCCTGACCAATACTCAGAGTAGCTGAATCTGCTGGACCTGTCATTATATTTTTTTAAATACCTCAAGAAGCTACTTGAAGAAGATTTAAAAATTCCAGAGGTCGTGCCTAGTTCCCGATGTAACTTTGCTGCAATACAGTCACGTCACTGTCAGAATCAGGAAAGGAAATTGCTCTGAGGATATAGTGTCCACTATCAACGCACCTAGGCACAGAAATGCGATCCCTGTGTTGTGTTTTTTCTCAGGACATGGAAATAGTTTTAGCCTGTGGTAAAATATCTGTGTCTTATTGGCATTGATTTCAATTTGAAGCATGTTGCATTTTTATGCTTCAAAAAAGCATTTGCAGCACATACGCAGATAGCAGTGTCCTAGACAATGGTTTCCTTTCACAGATGTTCCCAAACAGGGCGGCAACTGTGGGAGGGTGTGTACAAAGTCATCTTTGTAACATTCTTAAAAAAATGTTTCAAAAATCATGTGAGAAGCCCAAACAGAAGAAATTTGAGAAGCTTGGCATTACACTTCACAATCCTCTGTCTTCAGGAAATCTGACGTTTCATTTTTCAAGTTGACAGTATTATATTCTGGAACATATGTTAAACCACTTCAAACCAAAAAAAATAGTTGTTACAAAGAAATTAACATTTATAATAAAGCTGCAATGGGACCCTAAGACAGTTTTTACATGAATAAGCTTACCTTTTTCCTTAAAGTGATCATAACCAAAGCAAAAGCCTTGGCTTTATCAAAACATATATCAGAATAATCAATTTTTACAAGGAAAGAAATCTCAAAGACGAGATAGTAATAAAAGTGATCTGTAAAACAAGACTCTCTGCCTGCTTTGTCTTCATCAGGTTTGCAGCAAAGAATCAGTCATTTTGTTTTCTACTGAGTGACTCTGTTTCAAAAGAAAATACATTGTTCACTAACATACGACTATGAAACAACAAAGAAATACAGCTTTTCTAGCAAATACCTTCCACTGCGAACACTCAGAGCCGTAGAAAGGAAAAATACATGTATACATAAAAAGATTACTCCCTTAGCAGTATGGTGGAGACATTCTCAGATGTAGTGAAACTTGAAGTGTGTGAGGGAGAAATGAGGAAAGAGCATCTTTCTGCTCAAACACCAGTGTGCAATAATGTTTACCCAGAAGAGTTTCTCATGTGTGACTTGACCAGACTGCAAGGATAAATACAACACTCCTAATTCTTTCAAATACTCTGTTGTCTTTGTTAATAGAAATTACTAAAGGCTTTCTTAATCAACACCTAAATCTATCAGTTTTGTGGCTGGCAGAATCGCCAGGCAGAGTAATTTTGGACATTCAAATCTAGCTGACAATATCTGTGTGCACATGACCTCTTTGGGGTATTTTGGGTTTGGTTTTTTTTCATCACTTATTAAATGTCAAACTGCCTGTAATCAGTACACTGATGATTTCCTCAGGCATTCTTCATTCTGACAACATTCAGTTCAAAGACCTTTCTAAACACCGTTCTTTTAGAAACCCACCAAATCTCGAAGTATTAATGACATCTTTTGTACAGCAATGTGCTTGGACACAGTCATATTGTTAACGGATGCATGTTAAGCACAATCTATCATTATGCACTCAAGGAAAGTTTGTGAGTCATATGTTTCGCAGGGCAATTTTCTAGAGAAAAGCCTGACTACATTGCATAAGGTCTTCAATCTGTATCATGCATCTCTAGCCATTGCCAGTCATAAGGATTGGTCTGCTGATGAGGTAGAGAGCTTGCCAGCAATGCTAACAATTAAACTTCAGAAAAGCTGAAATATTTCCCATGGAAGAACGTTTTCTCCTATGAAGGGAGCTCAGCCCAGGTTACCTTCTTTCTCTCCATCCTTTTAAATAGAGCAACAGGGTCCCAAACCCTAAGGGGCGCAGCAACAATCAAAAAAATTTATGTTTTAATTGCAACAAATTGGTTTAAAAAATAAAATGGAATATCAATCGGGTTTCTGTTCTGAATGGCAAAATTCTTTTGTCTAAAAAAATCTATTGCTTCTTTGACCGTTAATTTTGTCACCTTACAAATTCGTCCTTTCTACAGTCTATCATTATCAGTTCAAGATCCACTTCATCAATGAAATCCAAGGCAAGCAGACAGACCCAACTTTTACCATCTCTCTGACAGGCACTAAGGAGGATGCTAAAAACCTGCCCATCACACTGTGAGTATTTGTATCACACGTCATCGTACAAGTCAGAAACAAGGTGCCACTTAATAATACCGTATCATGTATGTAATCATGCTCTGAGTGATAGGGTTTGGTACAGCTAAGTGAAGATCAACTGGAACCTGTTCTCTCTTCACCCATATTCCCTAACATTCACAAACTTTCACAGAGTTCATACAGTTTCTGCACGAAAAATCTCTATGAAACAAACTTAGTAATCTCGGACGTTTCCCTGAACATTAAGTATCCTGTCCACTTACATTTGGTCCATCCCATGGCTAACATAGGGAGGTCTAATCAATTAAAACACAGCTACATAAGCAGCTTTAATTAAGGTAAAGAATTCCGGATATTTCTCATGATGGACACTATCTGTATTAACAAAAGCAAAGGCAACAGTGCGGGTCAGCATTTGCTGGAGCAGACAAAAGACAATGTAGATGCTATTAAGGGACACCTTTGCTGTCAGAAACCACTACTGCTTCACCGGCTGTTTAAGCTTCTCCCACTTCTTCTTTTCTAGCATGTTGTCATATTTCACTGCTTCATGCACCTGGAGGAAGAGTATCCTAGAGACAATGATGTTCCCTCCTGGACAAGAAGGGGGAACCGTGGTTCTTTCTTTGTTTTTAAAGGGGAAAAAAACCTTTTTGTTTTTCCTTCACATAATAATATATAATATTATTAAGATATAATATTATTAATATATAATCCATAATAATTAAGACAGCATTATTCCGGTTTTGTTTTCTGCAGACTTGAAGGTATTAATGGGAATAAAACCTACTCTTTTCTCATCACCCTGGACACTGATATTGGTGAGCTAATAATGATTAAGTTCAAATGGGAAGGAACTGCAGTTTGGGAAAATATCTGGGACACAGTTCAAACCATAATACCATGGACAAAAGGAACCCGTCGACCAGGACTTATAGTGAAGACAATAAGAGTGAAAGCAGGGGAAACACAGCAAAAGTAAGTGTAATGAAAGCACTGCTTTTCTGTATTAACACCACAAATGTTTGGCACACAGGTTATCCTAGTTCTAATAAAACCACCTGAGTCCCAGCACACACACCAATGGTGAATTTATCCATGTATAAATTCCAGCTTTGACTGCATGATTTTTAAGTGACTTAAGAATTTCTTTGTTCTCAGGTCAGAAATGAAGAGTGGGAAATATTCTGGCTCACCACTGTCACTAAACTGAGTTTAAGGCACAATAACCTTGGGTGACAGTTTTGTTGAAACATGGGAAGAGAGGATAGAGAAGGAGTTAGCACACAGTTCCAAGCAAGACTTTTAACAAGGTCTGCAACGCAATTTCTCTACACAATAAATGATGGCAATTTCTGATGTATTTTTAGAAAGTGATTATCTCACTCCACGAGGACCATATGAAATTTCAATGAAACAAGATATTATGTAAGATAAATATTGACTCCAAAATTAAGGTCATAAAACTTTAAAAATCCTACTTACAAAAAATATACCAAATTTTGATTATTTTACTTTGAGTACCTTTTTAGTAGAGAAACTCAGCATCACCATTCTTGAAAGTACTCATCAGAAGGATCACATGCAGAACTACACGATCATCTGATTATTCATTGACATTAAGGGTTTTATCATTAAATTCCCCTATTTTTGTCTCACTTGTTTAAGAGCCAGTTAAGAATTACTACTGTGCAGGCTGCATGAGAGGTGCCTGGAGTGATGAACTGTGGAAGCGATGTTTCAACTACAGGCATTTTGAAATTCCCGTAGCAAGCAAAGAGAACATGAGCAGTCCCTGAAAAAAATACCCACAACTATCTATACTTCTACATACCACACTTTCACTGGTATTTGACAGTAATTTTTGCACACTGCTTGTGCTTTTCTCTATAGCATGGATCCAGTCATGTTAAATTTTGTCAGCTGAACTCCAGAGCAGCATCAGAGAGCAGTTTTCTGGAGGAAAAAAAAATTAATGCAAACTGAAGTCTATGTTTGGGTGGCTTTTTTGTTGGGATTTTGTTTGTCTGTAGGGTTTTTTTTTGGTGGAGGGTAGGTGGTGGTTTGTTTTTTTTAACCCCCTGCTGATTGCTTTGAAACTGGATCACCAAGTCTGAGTGGCCTTGTTCTCTACATACAGCAGTGCCAGTGACTTTTGAAACCGCTTATTCATACAGAGAAATTTCAGCCAGAAGACAGATTAACAACATCTGTAATGATTTCCACTGCTTTGATCCTTTAAGACATTTTAACTGAGCAGCTTAATTAAGGTTAATGAGAAAAGCATGTCTTACCTTGTAACTCTGGCTCAGTCTTAGATGATTTTTCCTTGCTACAGCCTCTTTCTTACCAGCAGCAGTTTTAACTCCTGCAGATTCTCTGCAGAGCAATACTTATTGGCAAAGCTGCATCTCTTGGTTACTGACACAAAAAACAAGTCAGGTAATTTAAAGAGACATCTTTCATAAGACAATCCGTGAGTACTGGGGGGCAGAGGAGGCATCATATTTTCTTGGGTTTTGTCCCCTTGAAAACGTATTTTGTAGATATTTTCCTCTCCTGAGCACTTGACACGTGCTCCTGCCAACAGAAAAAAAAAATTTCTATAATATGCCTTGCTGTTTTAAAAGTCACGATTCCAAATCAGTACTGACCTTACTGCCAAAGCAACTTAAAGCATACTACACACTGCAAATTAGAGAGCTCTGTTTAAATACAGGGTTTTGTACCTTGAGAAAAATTACGAGGATTGCTAAAGGATGTCATGTACACTCATTCCTCTCACCAGAAAACTCCTGTCTAATACAGTTGTGTCAATAACCTGGCACAAGCCAATTTACTACTGACACACTGAAGAAATCCTAAGAAATGGGTAACTGAAGTGGGTAGTTATTTTACTAACAAAAAAATTATGCTGGTATCTTCAGGTACCCAACACCCCTTAGAAGTGTTCTTTGCTGCAAGCATTAGTGGGAGCTTGTGTCAAGATTTTAATGGATGTCGATTATGTACTGGGTTTTGTTCTGTGCAATCCAGGCTTGTCAGGGAACAGAAATGACAGGTTACTGTTGAAACACTGTATTAAAGCTTGAGGGGGAATGAAAGAGTATTAGACGATTGTAAAAGGAGGAACAAAGAACACTCAAGGAAAAGCATTTTCTTCATAGTGTGTAGATTTCAGTCTTCTTGGAAAGCCCTAACGTCACGGATCAAAGAACTAGCAATGTTGGAAATCCAATACTGAAAACGGGCAGTAAACACGAGATGCGTTTTGAGTTGTCTCGTGCCCTTTCTTGAGCATCTGAACAAGCTGCTGGCAATATTTTATCTCCATGCACCCTTACCTCACAATGTTCATGATACTTAGACCAATGATAATTTTTCCTCTGGTAGATTATCTAATAGCAAACACTTAGATGCAACATAGCGGCATAAACTTAAAAATGAGTTAATAAACAGACTATTAAGAGCAGTAAAATACCACATTCCAACATATTTGAGTTACAAATATGGAAAACATTGCTGCAGCATTGTAGTTGCTGATGTTTTTAGCATCCTACATAACTGATTTTCAGCAACTTCATCGCTAAATATTCGTATTCCAGCCAAGCACTAGCAGGCCAAACAGTGCAACCCTGGTAGTAGCAGTACAAGTTGAAACAATGACAATGGCCACTGAATGGCCACTGAATGGCCAATGGCCACAGAATACAAGGCCAAATCGCTGTGAGGGCACGCTACAGAGAACAGCACGCCACATCTGATAACAGAGAGAGACACCTCTTTCCTCATGAGCCTACAAAAACAATCAGATACCTTCCTGTAAAAGACAGGAGAAAGGAAGTCTGATGCAGTTTATCTAGAGCACGCTTTTTTACAGACGATAGTCCTAAAAAGTAACGTTATGCTTACATACTGTGTTCTCTTTCTAGAATGAGCTTTTGTTCTCAAAGCATTGACAACCTTCACCTCCATCCAGCCCAAGAGAAAACGTTTGTGAGGTGCGAGGATCGCTTTCGGAGACAAAACAGAAAATGAGCAAGAACACAAAGAACAACTACTCACCAAAATATATCCAAAATACTGTACATCTAGTAAAATGCTTTCAAAATACACACCTTGTTTAGCTATGAGCCTGTTCTAAAAGTGATCGACAAAGCAAGTTCATCAACTGCAATTGTCAACTTTACACTGTTTAAAGTTTTAAAAAACACCTGCTCGCTAGAAATAAAAATATGAGTATTTGAAAGAATCATTGCCGTAAGCCTTTGAAAAAATTCATTTTGTTGGATTTAAGGGGGAAAAAAGCCTTTTTCCATTAAATACTTTGACTACCAGTTAAACCTTTCCTAAATTATTTCCTAATGAAGGGCGAGCTAAAGAATTCATAGAAGAAAATGTTCCCAAGTAGCACTGTCAACAGAGTTTGAACTTTTTACTTTAAAACATTCAAAAAACATCTCGACATGGAGAATGTTTGAGCTATCTGTCATAGTCTTAGGACAAGACAAATAACTACGTCACCAAAACATGCCATACTACACTTAGTCCTACTGGGAAATGCTTTGCTGTTTAACTATTTTAATTAAATTACTGACTTAAAGTACTAATAGTTTAATTAATGATGCTTAGTTTACTCCGTGCAATTCTAGCACAGCTAACTTCAGTTAACTTTTGTGTTGAAATCATATTTACCCGTTCATGTAAGACCTGAAGTGTTTAGGTTTTTAAACCACTGTCTGGCAGATTTTAGCGTGATTTGAAACTGCAGGAATAAATCAAAATGGTAAAACTCTCAATCATCTTCAGTGCATGTAAACAACCTTTATAAATTCAAACATACACAATTCCCTCGTTTCCAAGTCAGAATATAAGCTACATAAACACGATAAGTCTTAGATTATTTTTATTGTATGGTTAGTGCATACTGAAATGGAAACCAATATATATGTCAGAGTATTTCATTTGTCACTATGTAATGCTAAGCACAAGATTCATTAAAAATTATGTTTCTACAACTCTGTATTCTGAATGTAATTTGTTTAAAATGTTCTCTAAACGGAAAAAAAACAAAGTGGAAGATAGCCCCAAGACCTGGAGCAAAGCCTACTTCTTATACCAAGATATTGCAGGGAAATTTACATAAAAATATACGGATATTACCAGGATTAAAGGGAGAGTCATCTAAAAAGCATGACAAATGAACAAGCTGAGCAGAACTAGCAGTTCTGCAAGCAACGAACAGCGATCAAACGCTGAATGTAGTCATCTTTGCTGCCCATTCAGAATATTCACTTCTAACTTCTAAAAGCTGTTTTCAGTAACTACTGTTCTTTTACAAACAGGAATATTCAATACAGAAACAGAAAGGCTGATGAATTATGATAGGAATTGAAGCACACTTACTTTTCAAAGGAGAACAGCTGTTCTTTCTGAGGTGTACATTTCAGAAGCTGATCCAATATTTAAAGTGGCCACTCGGAGCAGCACCTTGATTAGGAGAAATGTTTACAGATTTACATAGAAGCTCCACATGAAAGAATCTTTAGATCTTCACTGAAAACCAAGGTTTGTCCTATAAAAGATTTTGTGAAACGAAGCAAACTGGGTTGTTGGTTTTTTTTCAAACATGAAAAGTATTTTTACCTTCTAGATCAAAAATTACAATTTAAGTGAGTAATTTCATGCTTCAGGTTGATATCCTCACTACTTAATATCCCAAAATAATTATTTTATTAAAGTTCTTTTATGTAAACACAGAACATATCGCAATTATTCACCCAAATACAAGAGCTAGAAGTTAAATCAGGAGCACAGCACAGAAGGAAATTTCAGTAATAAGTACCCCTGAAAGTTAGAGAAGCACCAGTCTTTTTATTTAGGTGATGGTTGCTGTTTGCTTTTTACACATTTGTAGTAGCTCTAACCCACTGGAGAGAATCAACTGCTAGAGACCCACTGACAGCATTTTTAGGGACATGAAGTGAAAACAGACTGTGCCCCGAAGAATGACAGATAAGGAACAAATTACAAAGAGGATTTTTTTTCCCAAAGCACAATGAAAAATGAAACAGAGAAGTATGTGTGTGTGGCCAACTCCAGATTCTTTCTAGAATTCCACTTTTGCTTCTGTAAAAAGCTAAAGATCTGTCACTTCTTATGTTTAGGGTTGTTTTGTTTACAGAATTCCATTCATAGAATTGAAGTACTGTCACTGGAACTGCATCCACAACATTGCTTATGACCAACTTTCTAAGCTATGAACTTTGTACACTTCCTGAACCAAATCCTACCGCCACTCCTCAGAAAAGGCCTTGTTCAGAGTATACTGGAGGGTGACAAAGCAAGAGGCAAAGGTTACAAAGAATCGGACTGTGCTGCTTCTCCAGTGCAGAACTGTTACTGTTTCGCTATACCCTGAAAAAACAAGAAGCACTGGACAGTTGATGAGAGAGCTTTTAATGAGATTTGTATGAGGTAAAACATAACCACTCACAAAGCCATTCAAGTCATGCTTTTCCTGCAGTTACACATCCTAACACACTTAGAAACATTTTAGACATGAAAATTTGCATTTCTTTCACATCACTATCACTTACTTGGTGAGAAGGTCAATAAAGGGATCTAAACTTTAGGAGAAACAAGCTTGAAAGCATTAATGTTCAGGAAATAAGGTCAGGGATGTCTACAGTGTGCTGAAACTCAAGAAACAGGGATGCTGCAGTTGAGGACTTCTAAAGTTTCCTGGGAAAAACAAACCATTCTCCAGTTCAACTGAAAAAAGCTGATATATCTTCAAATCTGAAACCTTCAAAAAAGTCAAAAGGGAAAATTAAAAGGAGGCAGTATTTGAATTTTTGCAGATATGAAGACACTTCTCCTGATGCCACTTCTCGCAAATCATAAACCCTGTCCTTGTGTTTTGATAGCCATCACACTCATTTCTGATATAAAAAATGAAATAAAGCCCAAGTTGCAGCAGTCAAATGGAATGTCTGAACATGACACTGAAGCAATACCTACAACTGCAACTGCTCAAGTGGTGCCTTACTTTGTGCTCATGAGAATTATCCCTGGTCCCACTCCAAATAACTGGATCGAGGCCTTGGAAGCCATCAGGAGCCTACTCCTGTCAGAGGAAGTACAGGTAAGAACAACATAACAACTGCTGTCCTGCTGATCACCTCTCTGCAATAATGAGCCTCCCATATGCAGAAGTGTTTTCTGTGTTCTTATTGAAAGAAATATTGGAACAATTATTCAGAGGCCAATCTTAAGAAACACAAGACGAATAAATGAATAGCTACAACTAGGGATTATTAGGTAATACACTAGTAGGAAAAATTACAGCTATTTAAGTACTCATTTGTTTTCCCCAAACACCTTTTAAAATATACACAAAATTTGTACTTTAGATGCTTAGGCATTATTTCTAACACTCTGGTTTGCATTCCTAGGCAGAAATGTAAATTCAACCACTACCAAATCTATTAGGCACCTATGATGCTGATCTGCAGAAGGGCACTGTTCCAGCTGAGTCTCTTTTAGTACCTTTTGCCCTGCCAGTGAGATTTATCTACAAGGGGAAGCACTTCTAGAAATAAAAAACAAAACCAAAAAAGCAGTCATGGAGAGGAGGAAAAAAAAAGAAAAGTACTGCAGGGAAGAAACTCTGACTGTGCTTTGATACAGTGCTCAGTTAGGGAAACAGACGTCTAAGCAGGCCACTCTCACCAAACAGCCCTGAGAATGAAAGGTTAGCTGGCAGGACTTGACTTTTCAAAGCACTCTAATCACTTAACCACTCAACACATATGAAAACACAGAGACCCAGCTTAGCAACTTTAAACCATCTCACAAAAAGCCGCTTTACTCTAGAAGTCTTAGACGGCAGTTGTGCACTCCGAGTACTGCATGTGAGTTCCAGTATCCTCTTCAAAAACATATTTAATTCAGAAGGTATCATTCAGTAGCTACAGTGCCAAGCTTGAAAACCCTACCAATAACTAGTTTCCATTGTGAAGATAAGAACAAAGAAAGCTTTATTCCTGTGATCACACAAGTAATTCAAAGGCAATTTTAGGGCTTTTCCTTAAAAGGTTACACAAAAACATTTACTCTTACATTTAACTGCATAATGTTCAAATTCGGAGGTGCACTTCGATAGCGCAGCTACTTTTTGGCATGACATCCGGAATCTGGGTACTCCCTTTTGCTTTCAGGGTTCAAGAAGTAAATGGCTCTTTAGAAGATGATTTCATCAAGTCTATTTATTAATGCATTTCAAGTTTCAAAAAACCTTACATATCTTTGCACAATACTTTATTTTTTGCATTTTTTTAGTAAAAATTTCCAAAGTGAACAAAAAAAGATACTGTATAAAACACAGTGGACATGAAATCGACAGTAGTATTCCATTTCATTGTCTTGAACTTTCAGTTTTACCACATCTTGACTTGCAGTGGAGAGTTCAGTGCACGTTTCTGTTTTCAGAAAACATTTAACTTAGACTCAAAATAAAATAGGGCAGCATCTGTCTGCCAAAATCCTACCACAGGATAACATTACAGGCAAAAAATTTACATGTTCCAAAGTCTACCACACTCAAGAAGTTACTAAGAACTCTTGCTGAATAAAAGTCACCATTGTAGAAATGCAAACCCACTTCCAATCCTTGCACAGTCTTAAAACAAATGTATTTAAAATGACTTAAAAGCAACTACATACACTTCTAACTAGTTAAGATCATTTAGAATTATTTATATAGTCTATTGGACTTGGGGTTTCATGTACAAAATTTGTCTCTAAACCATGTACAAAAAGCTGTCTTTTGAAAAAGTTACCACGTACTGTACAAGTTTACAAGGAAGAGATCCCATTATATTCTGTAACATTTTTGGCCTTGCTGGCTTGTGTCACATTATGAGAATGATTGTGTAAACCTTATACTCTTAAAAAACAAAACAAAACAAAACAAAAAGACCAAAACGAACACCCCCCCCAACAAAAAGAAAAAACCAACCCAAATGCAAACAAAAAAAAACCCCCAAACAACAACAAAAAGAAGCCTGTCCAACTCTTAGTAAATTTTCTCCTAAGCAAAGCCAGGAAAATTATAGCCATTTGAGTCTCTAATTAGCTCGGTGCTTTTGGAAAGCAAGCAATAAATATATCACAAGCTTAAACGTTTTGTAATGCCCCCTTTCGTCTCCTGCATAGCAGTAAGCACCTTAAGACATCTTTTGTTTCCTCTTTCAAAAATGCCAATTACTTACATTCATAATAAAAACTTTGGAATGGGACATTGTGCTGTTGAACTTCACTACTGGTATAAAATGTAGGAAAATTGGTAGTCCTACCTACAATTTTAACTCTGCCACAGTAGCAGGGCAAATCACTCTACTCTAGTGGTTATCAATCAACAGTATAATGCTGAAAAGTTATCCAAATATCTGATAAATTAAAAAAGAAAATAAAAACCCTACAGCTTTCCTTTCTTTCCACATCCCTCAGAACTCAAAACTTCATCGTCATACTGTAAGAATATCCGAACAGCCCAAATAAACTGGTTGCAATTTTAAAAACAAGTTGAATAACAGGCAGAACTTTATAACGACGCATGGAAATATTTCATTTCACTATTCATTATTTAACTGAATAATCAGACAAAAAGATTTACGCTGAACTACAGGAAATTAGACATTTCTAGAAAACATTTTTGAAACATTCTGGCATTTGCAAAGTTTGCAGAACACCTGCTGTATCTCTACAGGACCATTCAATCTGGTATGCTATGTCTTAGCAGCTGTTTGATAAAGATGAAATGAGCGCTTGAAACAACTTTGATCATGATAAAAAAGTTTGATTTGATTCAAAACTGCTGTGTAAAGCATCACAGGATCCTTGACCATTACACACCATCATCCTCTGTTATCCTGAGTATGTCAATTAAACAGTAATTTCTTCATTAATAGCAGAAAAGTTTTATAATACAAAGAAACATCCATATTGCAATTCTCTTGTTTACAATTGCACACAAGTACGGGTGTACGTTAGAAATACATGTCTGCATATAACAACGTATATACATTGACAGGTAATGTCTCCAATGCTGAGGTGCTCTAGCTTCCTAGCCTTATCTGGCAGTTGAAAAAGACTTTTTTTTTTCCCAATTCTTGAGCAGAAGTGTTACTACAGCCATGTCTGCCTGCAAGTGAAGAAAATGCAGCAATGAAGAGCACAGAACGGGGAAAGAATCACGATACTCTAGGACTTTTTGCCACTAAATTAAAAATACGCCAGAAAAACACTTTTCTTCTTTTTTTTTTTTGAGCTGGAAGATTAACTCATTAAAAATTAACCATTTCCACTTGTTTTGAGGGCATATCATGCTTTTTTTTTTTTTCCTTTCCTCTTCAATTTTTGAGAGTTAGACCAGGGACAATGACTTATTAGGTTTTCTTTGGAGTGAGTTTTCCCATTGTAGGCACTAGGAAGAACCAAGGCAAAAAGCTGCAGTCAACGTCTCATATGTCCCATCTGATAGCTCTCTCGGGGCCTTTGCCGCTGTGGTGGCTGAGTGGTTTGTGGTGGTCTCCTCCTTTTTAAAGTGCCTGTTTTCAAAGAAAGGTACACGTTATCAACGTGAATTTTAAAAAGGAGAAATGGTTTCCAGAAAAGTTGCTCTGGTCATGCAAATTAAACTTAACTATTTTTCTGAAAGGCTTCAGACATAGACCTGCAAGGTTTTAAATTGACGAACTGCATGGAGTATTTACAGAATACATTTTATTATCTCAACAGTAGCTCCTTAAGCAGGTTGATTCTTGTAAATGTAGCATGGAATAGGAAATAAAAAGAACTCTTGACTTTAAAAAAGTCTTCAAAGCTTTCTTTTGATATCCATTATTATTTTATAGGAAAATAAAGGCAAGAATTACTTGTTTTTATGAACTGTTCAACTGGCATGAATTCCATTTGCAGTTTCACAGTGCCAGACTAAGAACTGTAAGTTGGGACTCCTAAAATTTCCCCTCAGAACAAGACAGTTGAGGATAAAACATTTCTCTATAGATTTAATTAGCTGGTGTACTCACCTGGAAGCGGTTTATGAGGAGGCAACTTTGGATTACTGCTTGGAGTATGAACACTGCATATCTTAATGAAACCAGCCATTAACATGATCAAGGCAATTCCCATCAGCAACACCGCCCACCAATAAGCCTAAAAACATTTAAAAAACTAATTTAGAAGGGCTGGCACACATGCACAAGAAACAGGGGTCACTGAATACGGCTTTCCTTTGCCTTTTAAGTCATCAAAAAGCTGTTCTGAAACATCACTGAAAAGACCGAAACATTTAAAAGAAAAACATCCCTAAAGTTCTTCCACAAAAAACCCAAATACTTCAGATTCATTCTATTATCAGAAGAGTATTTCCCAGAAGATACACTACAGCAGAGCTGTCTAAGCCTAAAACAATCCACCGCTTGCAGAGAATTGACTATGCAGCTCTACAGTGGTGTTCCGTTGTAGCTCTTCTCCCAGTCTATTATTAGGAAACTGTCATCCAGTGCAATAAAAATAAGAAACACTACAGTTCAATACCTTTAGTTCTTTAAGAAATTAGAGCATTCATATATGAACAGCTAAAATGGGAAAACTCAGTAAATTAACATGAACATTAAGACCAAAACCAACAGTGGAATAAATAGAGGTGTTAACACAAAGTATTTGTCATTTGTTTCCACTCCCTTCAATCTGTCAAACTTATTTGCTGCACTCAGAGTGCTTTTAGAAAAACTAGTAAAACAAGGACTGATTGTACTTGGAAGAATGCTGAAGTACTGTATATATACGGCAGCATTTACCAACTGTGAATACTGATGAACAAGAAAATGTTATATCAGACTGGCAAGATAAAGAAGTACTTACCACAATCCATTCTGCGATATTTTCATATAGTTCCGGATTAAAAATTGCTTTCTTTAATCTAGCTAGAGGGCCATCAGCATCTACTAGCCGGCACCTCATAAACACATCACAGTAGCCTTTGAAATCATTACAAGGAGATCCAGGTTGCAAAGTAATAGTTTCACGGTGAAAGTATTTCTCCCACTGGTTAGAGCCTGTACTTGCACAAGAAGCTGGGTCCACTGAGAAGTGAATACAAATGAGATTAATCAAATTGTTAATGTATTAAAACATATTCGCATGAATACCTTGGTGTTCAACTGTTCAAAATGCTTCTGAAAAATTTCAAGTTTCTACCAGTTGTCAAAAACTAAAACATAATCATTTATTTCTACAAAATGCAATGCAACGTCGATCTGAAACTAAGTACTAACAAAATCGCAGTATGCTCTCTAGTTAAAAAATACCCTAACATATAAACACCCTGAGAAGATTCCTCAGACACCCACTGCTATATTTATGCTGACAATCCAGAGAAATCTTACTTTTTCTCATGCAGCAGACATGACACAACTCTCGATCGTCCTTGCCATCTGAACTAGCACACGTACATTCCTCCAAGCCATGCTTCTCACAGATAGAGCCAGCACATTGCTGTTTGAGACAAAAGCACCAGAACACAAAAATAAATTTCACTTTTAAGCACACTGACGGTAGGAAAGATGCTAATTTTTAATAGCTGAAAGCATAATTGTAGGTCTAAAGATGCTCATCAATAAAAATAATTGCTTGACTTTCTTCTAAAGTTTACAAAACAAATTCCTACAGCTATTCAATTGCAGTGTTTAGGCTTATTTGATACTTTTAAAGACAATTTACCCTACTTCATTTTTTAACACTGTATCTTCAGTTAGGGCCTCTGAGTACCCTGCGAAACACTCAGCACTGCAACCGACACTGAAACTTCGTGACTCAAAACTATGGTTAGGAAAATAAACCAAAAGCATGTCTTAAAAATAAGATAAATTAATGGCAGAAAAGATTCTGTATTTAATTCCACTGTGGGAAGATACTTCAAATTCAAGTGAAAAAAACGCAGCATATTTAGAATCTTGTTTCAAAACCAACTAACTATATAAAGGTAAGTCCTCTATCTTTAAGATGATTCTGAATTAGCTGAAAAATTATTACAAGCGGTATCATTTGATTAAAAACCCAGACTGTGGAAAGCAGAGGCTTACAGCAACACAACTTACAGCTCTAAGAGGACGACTTTTGCTTGTTTCTGCTTCCAAGTAAACATAAATCAATTTATAAGAGACTTCCCATCAATGTTCCATGGCAACTGCCATAGACCCTAACCCAGGAAACTGATGGCAGTTCAGAGTGATTCTATATGCTTACACACCTGTGGAGGATCTCCACATGCACATGGGTGGAGGAACTGTGTATTTCCATTAAACCAAATTCAACACGTATTGATAGCATCTCGAACTTTCTAAGGCAACAAAATCACTTGACCAAAACCAAAGAAAACTGAAAACATGAAACTAGGAAATGAACCACTTCCATATTCCCGATTTAAAACAAACAAGCAAACAAAACTTTAAAGGGAACTTTCTGAAATAGTAAAGCTAGCTTGATATTTGTTACCTGCTTCCTAATATCTGGTGTACCTTCACAGTCATTTTGATTGAAACCAATAAATTATTTTTATTGCAAAAGAGATTAGTCTTACACTCTTTTCCATGAAGTATTGAATCCATACCACTGCATAATACAGCACCTTGGAACAAACAACTGTGGTTGCATGTGACAGTAAAGAAACCAACGTACCCCTTTTATGCAAACTTGTGTGTTCCTGTTGCAATCTGTGAAGTTTGGTTTAGGCTCAGATGCTGGGCAGAGAGCACTGACACCATTACACATTCCTTCTTTTGCACAGTCTGAATCATTTCGACACTTATCAGTCTTCAGTTTGAAATTACACTGTGCAGTACAGCAGGGGCCTTGAGTAGGGCTAGAAATGAGCAGAAAACATGGATGTAAAGAAAAAGTATGAACGATTCCAGAAAAACTACTCTTTCTGAAACCTACTCATGCACTCACATGTTTCTCACTTGTGCTGAGTAAAGCTTGAATTGAAAATTATTCTTTACATCCCTGAAGGTAACAAAAGCTGATTGTGCTTAATACGTATTTCTTAATCATTGTACAGGCACATTTTAAATTGAAATATTTAGAAGATAACAGCATTTCAAAGTTTGTGTATATAAAATATTCTATTAGCAAGTTGGCAAAATTAATTCAGGAACAACTGATTAGTTTGATAGTCTCAATGTAATAAGTAAGTCAACGTTTTTCTGTCACCAATTAACACCCATAAGAATTTTCTTTCCCTGCCTTCTGCAGCCATACCATTTACACTGTGCAAACAAACAAGAAAAGGGAAGGAGACAGGTCACATCAGAAATCAGCCAGCATACAAATAAACTCTGGGGGGAGGAAAGATTTGTCAAAGCAGCCATATAGCTTCACTCATTACACCAAAACACTCGGGCTCCTTTCTGTCACAGACAAAGCACTTGAGCCCATTATGCCACGTACACCAGTACATCATGAGGATATCTGGTGAAATGGCAGGAAACAATTACTTCTCTCTCTGACGCTGTGTTTGAGTACATATGCCATTACAAGCAGCGGAAGAGCGCAGGTTATAAAACGTACATAACTACTTGATTAAAGCTAAGCCTCCTGAATTCTCATCTCAACTTATTCTGCATCTCAACATTATTCGCAGTGTGCTCTTTGGCATTCAGTGGACATCAGAAGACAGCACAGACCTTCTGGAGGCCAGGGTCTCACTGCATGCTAAAAAAAAACAACCCTCTTACGTCACACATGAAAGACTAAAAGCCATGTAAAGCAGCTGGATAGATGACAGTTCTAGAAATGTATTTTAACATGTTATTTATGGCATCCATTCTTACCCTTGGATTTGCTTGACATGTCTTTGGAAACCTCTTTGTACAGCAAAATTTTCTACCTTAATAGAACTGAAAAAAGGGAATCCTAAAACAAAAGTGATGCAGCAATTCATATTTAAGAGTGTTCCAGCAGGGCATAAAGGTAGACTACAGTCAGCTGAAAACAAGAGAGCGAAGACAAGAGAGAGCGGTGGCACCTGGCGTACTCAGAACAAAACAGCTCCTCACCATAGATGCAACATAAAATCTCAAAAGCTAATTATAAATCAAGACAATGTAAAGCCTTTATTTCAGCAGAAACAGTAAGAACTTGCAAGACGGACACAAAATTACTGCAACTTGAATTCACAGGAGATAGTCCTACTGTATCTGCACCATCAAATACAGGTTAACAGTAGATGCTACTTCTACTCCCAGGATGACAAAGATAATTTATATGGTAAGAAAGTTTAAGTAGGAAAAATTTTGTAAGTTGTATTAAAAAGCTGAGCTGGTTTAGACTTAAAAATAGTACTAGGTTTTTTTAAACATCTTTGGCTAAGAGTCTAACCAGACATGAGACTTATGTCTGACTAGAGAGGAACAAAAGCTCATGCCTTTCATGTGAAAAAAATCCACTTAAGTTTTCAGATGAGGTAAAAATTAAGCATGTATATCAAGTCACAGAATGAAAAAGATACAAGTTGACTCGCTTTACTGTAAGTCTTTTGATCTTTAAAAGTTCCTCTTATAAATCACTGTGTACACAACACTGACAAGATACACGGTGACTTAAACATAGTTTAATACAATCTATAAAACAAGCACTAAAAAAGAGAAAAAACCCATCAACTACATCCTTCAGTCGTCTTCCAGTTAGGCAACCCTGTAGAAATGGCACTAGGATAGGATCCAGTTTCACTGTATCTCCTACTATCCTTTGGGCAGTTAATACTTTCCTATAGCTATCGTAAAAATAACATCCTGGTCCAGTTTATTTTCAACCATAGTTTTTACAAGACTTCAGTCTAACACGTTTCCAAGAAAGATAACAGAATTTCAACACATATTTGTCTGCACAGAATATTACGATTATGCTATGCAAGTAAACAGATTCAGATTCTAAACCACCAACTATAGCTACCACTAAACTCCCAATATTAGAGCGTACTGTAAGAGACGTGCACAATACCTGCAGTGTTTGTTTGGTTTTAACTTGCATTTTTTATCTTCTGATTGGTTTGCATCATAACAGCATTCATCCTTACACTGGTCACTGTAACCACAATCACACTGTTCTCCTTGCTCAACCAGTCCGTTACCACAGATGGGTTGACCAGACTCTGAAAAACGCCAGTATATTTATGTACAAAGCAGCACAAACAACATGCAAATAGACTTAGACATTGAATTGCAACACCATCCAGTTAATTGTGACTGAAAATGTCTGGTTAAGGTGGACTTCAGACCAGGGCTCAAGTCAACTTGTATTATTTGCTTGCCAGCCAACTTAGCCATTCCTACAATTTGGAATTTTAGCCCTCTGACTAAGCGGTTTCTGCTAGTAACAGTGGGAGTTTCTTGTGTGGACAGGAAATCAAAAGTGATAAGAGGAAGTTTTCTGCTAAGCCTCCAATGAAGCATCATCCTTTCTTGCACTCCTCCTTTAACAGAACTGGAAGACCTTAAGGCTAAAGCTGATGGTACTGAGGTGAATGAAAACCCATATTTACCCACTGCACAATCTCACAAAATCTGTGAGAGCTCATACATCACAGACTGCAGAAAGAAAATTCCTGCAAGATTCTTATTTTTAAAAAATGTTTAAATAGAATTTCCTGTATTTCAATTTGTGCTCCTTGCCTCTTGTCCTTTCACTGGGCATGACTGAAAACAGTTTGGCCTCATTTTCTTTACTCCCTCCCACCAGGTTTTTATAAAGACAGACAAGAGCCTCCTCTCTCCCCAGACTTCTCTTCTCCAGACCAAACAGTCTCGGCTCCAGCCTCTCCTCATGTGTCAGATGCTACAATCCCTTAATAAACTTTGTGACCCTTTGCTGGATTCAATCCTGTATGTCCATGTCTTTCCTGTACTGGGGAGCCCAGAACTTGATAAAGTACTCCAGATCTCAAACTTGTGAATTCTTAACTTACAGAATCTTTCAGTAAACTATACAAAAAAATTGGTAAGATAAATAAAAAAGTAAAAATTAATAAGTTTCTAGTTACAGATTATAGTAACAGCTTAGTCATTCTGCTTCCAAGATGACTAAATACATACCAACAAAACAATTATTTCTTTTTTTCTCAAGAACTTGGCTGATATTTCGAATGCTACAGACAGAGAACTTGTTGTTGTTAAGTTTGTCCCCAGAAGTAGCTCTTGCATACATTATATAATTGCCATTTTCTTTCTGTCCCAAGTTCTTGGACTCTCCTGGAGTACACTCCATTCCAGAATCGTGCTGGAAGAACGAAAGAATTATTTCCATCAAGACAGCTTCTCTAATTTCTTGCTATCTTTTTAAACATGTGCAAAAGTAACCCAGTTTGTTAACCTTAACACAGTGAGAATAAAAGGTAAAGTATAAAACCAAAAAACCATGTTATACTCTAAGGCTTCTTGGAATAGAAAAAATATAGAGAAAGCAAAGGTTTGTTTTGTAGGTTTTTATGTTAGTTTATTTTGCTTTGTCTTTGATTGTTTTCCCAGACAACTGTAGCAACTACCTAATTTCATATGTTTTAGCCTATTTGCATTCTTGGTAATGTATACCCCAAGTGCACGTCCTGGAATGAATACTGCCTTGAAAAAGTTGCCATCTCCTAAGAAGAGTGGCTTTATGATCACAAAAGGGTGATAAGTATTCTGTGGAATAAAAAGCAGGAGGAGTTAACTGAAACAGCAGTCCATTCTTTGTGCTTGTTTTGAGGGAGGTGCAAAGAGATCTTCAGAATAGAGCAGAAGCTGTTTCTGTCAGCCCGTGACTAGACCCATACAATATCCAGCATAGTGAATGAAATGCATTACAGGTTGGCATACTAGCAAATAGCAGACTGACAACACACTAAGTTAAGCATAAGAGGAACTCTAATGCTGTTCTGATGCATTCAGCTTTACAGAAATACAACCTGTATCTCCCACAGTAGTAGGTATATTTTAAAATTTGCAACATAGCTGTGAGAACTGTATCGTTTATTACAGTTTGGTAGAACCAAATGTGTACTTTCACGTATTTCCCTGGATCAAATGCTAGGGAGTAAAATGAAAAGAAGCATATTCCAGGCTGATCCAAAACAGGAGCAACGTTTCGCTCAGTGGGACTGGTGTTTCAGTTTCATGTGCTCGTATTTCCAGTTACACTTGGAAGGCCTGTTCCCACTCAGAGCAGTGGTACTAGGGGTTTTCTCAAGGCACGTGAAGAAAGCATTCACATGTGAACATGTGTTTTGGAAGAACTCATCATTCCTGTCATATCTTGATTTCATTTTACTTCCAAGAGTAGAAAGCCTATATACTTAAGTTTAAAAATAAAAAACCCAAATCAGAAAACTTTCTCTCATCTCCAGCAAAACCAAAAGCCTCATACTTTCAGCTTGTGACAAAAAAACCATGTCCCTAAATGACTGGGAAACAATTCTGCTCTAAAATATTGTTCCCAGCATCTTAATCCTCTCCACAGATTTCTTAGGTAAACTTGTAAGTATAAATAATTGAACATTAAAAAGAGCCAGTTCTATCTTCACTTATTGAATAAAGCTTCATCTTAACCAATTTTGCATTGATTCTTCCTCCTCTCTAGGATAAACCAAAATACATTTTAAAGGTGTGTGTGACACTAGTCTTCAATAAAGAACAGGGAAGTTTTTAGGGAATAATCATATAGTGCACAAGAGATTCACCTAGTAGAAATAAACAATTTACAAAATCCATTGTTGCACCAGTGTTGTCAGATACTCATAAAGGGGGTTTAGTTCAGCAATTTGCTTTTTGTCTGTATGCAATGTGCATGGACATGTGCACATGCAGACACAATCATATTCCCCTTGTTTATAAGTAAAAACCCCATTTGCAAATCACACACTTCAAAATGGTTGAAAGTGAGTTAACAGATCAATACTAATACTCACAGGGGAACCAAAGTTATGCCCAACCTCATGAGCAAAAGTAATGTGAGAAACCTTGGGAGGAACATGGGAGCCATAGTTCTGAACAGTGATGATTCCAGTGTTCAGAGACTTCTTCTTACCATCAGAATACAGTTTGCTCTTTTCACATATTCCACCAGAACTCCCTGCATTTAGACAAAAGCACAACAGTTAGTCATTTAAGAGCACCACCACCGTCGTAGTTTTCTAGTGACATTTAGCAGAAACAGCTTGCCTTCTCAGCAGACATTACAGACTAAGAGTTCTTCTGGGTAACCAATATTAGCCCAACTTTGAAAATATATTCTATTCATCCAAACTAATGCTCTCAGCACTGAATGGATACATTCCCACAAGATGTTAGCTGTTTTAGAATAGCTATTATTCAAGAGCTATTTTGGGCTTTCATTACATGGACAAGCCCTGATTTTATCATACCTGTACTACAAGACTAGCAGGGTACAACGTCCAATTCCCATTCTACATCCCATTTGGATTTCACTAAGTAAAAAAAAATCACCGCAGTAAAGTCACGTAACGTAACAGAAATAAGAGCATTGATATAAAATGCCTAAGATTAGTTATATATCCTTGTCAGCAAAAGTGACTCTATTTTCCACTGGACTAACTAAAGCTGAAAGTGCTTTTGATGTGTGGGTTAATCAGACCCGTATTTAGAAGATGAACAATCAAGTGTATCACATTTACTGTTTGGAAAAATCTCAATTTCACGGAATTTTTCCGTAACTTCAGTTTGTACTGAGGCAGTATCCATGTTCTAAAATTCAGCTATTCTACTGCTCACATAAAAGGTGTCTAAAAAAAGGTTCTAAAGAAGTTTCACAGAATCCCAGAACGTTAGGGATTGGAAGGGACCTCAAAAGCTCATCCAGTCCAATCCCCCTGCCGGAGCAGGAACACCCAGATGAGGTTACACAGGAAGGCGTCCAGGCGGGTTTTGAATGTCTGCAGAGAAGGAGACTCCACAACCTCTCTGGGCAGCCTGGTCCAGGGCTCTGTCACCCTCACTGAGAAGAAGTTTCTTCTCAAATTGAAGTGGAACCTCCTGTGTTCCAGCTTGCGGCCATTACCTCTTGTCCTGTCATTGTTTGTCACCAAGAAGAGCCTGGCTCCATCCTCATGACACTCACTCTTTTAATATTTATAAACATGAATTCCTTGCTTTCTGAAGTAAAATTTCATTTTAGTAAAAGATCCCATTTAATTTATGACAGTATGTGCATTAAGGATGAAAATCTCTCAAAGCAATTTAATTTTTCTTAATTAATATCAGTTTTGGTAGCAGCATTTATGGAATGCAGATTGCAATTCAGGCTGTGTTGCTCCGTCTATACACAAGACTGGACATTCCAACCCAGTTTCTTATTTACATAGGCCACCTGCGTATTATTTTTCCTATGTTTCTTCTATAGTCATTAAGGTGGGTCCACTGAACTGTTACTCCTCTGAATACTCCACTAATACTTCTTTGAGCATTTTATTCTCCTAAAAATCAAACTCAGAGACTGTCATACCACAACAGTTTTCCACATAGCTGCAGTACTCTACAACCAACATGTGCTTTAGAGGAAAGCACAGAAGTAAATGAAGTGGGGTTAGTGTACATCTCATGAACAGTTTAATACTTCTTCCACGACTACTCAAGTTCTGTTAAAGCTCTTGATAGTATTCTCATAACAGTATCCAATCTCTTGCAAAGTCTCATGGAACCTGTTGTTCTTCAGCCTAATTCCTTGTTACACAGACATCGCTCAAGGGAAGAACAAGAGAAGACTGTTCCTTCTAAATTTGATTTTGATTTCTGTGCAAGTTTCCACAAATTGGAATTTGTGCCGAGCTATAATTAAAGAATTTGTACTTAACAAAAATAAAGACTAGTAACTTTCAAATGTCTCATTTCATAAAAATAAGACATCCTATAAAACTAATACCTCCAGGACAAGCATCTTGAGATGCTGCACACATGAAGACCACTCTTTGGTTTTTTGTTGGTTTTTTTTTACATCAAGAGACATACTTCAGCCCCACAATACACAACTAAATTGAACCTGAATAAGAAGCTGTTCAAGAAGAGTTACACAATGATTATTCTGGTATCTCCCAGAAGAAGATCTTAATGATTTTACTTTAATTAAAAAAAAATAATTAAAATAAATCCAATAATAACTAGAAAACTTAAGTGTAGCTCTACTACAAAATTCCAACTGCATAGTTCTAAGCTGTTTATAGATAGCAGAAATACTTGTTTCTTCTGTCACTTTACTGGTCACTCATACCTGTGATAAATAAAAAGCCCTCTAAGTAACACCATTTTTGTCTAAGAAAAGAAGTATGTTTTTCTTTATTGTTCACATCTTGCTGATCAGAAGGACAGCAACACTAATTGAAGCGACACATGCTGTTTGTATTTTAAAGAAGTCCAACCATACATAACCAAAATTGTGAAAAGCCCGTTATGATATTTTTGTCTATTTGCTGTCAATTTAAATTACATAGTTTCTGCATTTCCTCTTTGCACCTACATACAACACTTTATCTCATAGCACTGAAGGTTTGCACAGAATTACCTGAAGGGGCTCCAACCCACGCCAGACCAAGGACTCCATCATCAAAATCACGGTCTGTAAATACATAGGCCAAGCAATAGTCATCATGATTCTGTTCTGAGTTCAGTTCCAGAAACTTTTCCACGCCAATGTTAGGAAATCTGAAGGGATTTGAAGAGTCCTTCTCATCTACTGTTGTGTTTATCTAAAAGTAAATGGAAACACACTAAGACATGATTCATTTCCACTTTACTTGTAAATACCAGCTAAGAGACTTACTGTTATCAGTATCTTGTTACTTTAAACAGTTAGAGATGCTGCTAAACATTTACAGGCCTTGACAGATTACTACCCAAATATCTGCAAAACCAAGTTATACAACAAAGAATTGCATTTATGTAGTAAACCCCCACTCTTATTTCTTTTTCTTTTCTATCAGGACCCAAAATTTTATATTTATAACCTTAAATCACCACTTTTAGAAGGAACTTTCAATGTGGATAGCCATTACACATTTTACTATTAAAGTTCTTGGAGAGCAATATAGTCTAGTTGCTGCACAGTCAACACTGCTGAAACATAAGAAGTTGATTCCTATAATAACTGACTACAGCTTAGTAACAGAAGTAGTGGGTTTTGACAATGAACACTAAAACCAAACCAAATAAATGGGTTAGGGAACAATTTACTACAGAGATGCCTGTGTTACAGAGCTACTAAAATAAATGGCTACAAGTGAATTGCAACAGGACTTTTGAAAAATACAGCCTCCAAGCAATATCAGCGAAGCTGGAAGTATTTCCAAGACAACTTACTCTTATTCGTTTCACCATGAAGCTGATGTTACGGATTCCTGAGAAATCTGTTGACTGATAAATTGTATCAATTGCTTTAACATGGCTGGATATCTGTCAAAAAGAAAAGCATCTCCAGTTCAAAGATCTCAGCACTACACTATAGCTCATCTCAAACAGCAACAACCACAGGGCCCCTATGCTTACATTTAAGATACTGTACCATATGAAGTCTCACAGGCCTTTTTACTCAAATGTTAATGGCAAATAATGGAAATAAATCAATACATAACCTAGTGCCTGCACGGCCACCACAGTGGATAACAGCAAAGTATTTTGACATTTACCCCCATATCTATCACCTGTTTGTGATACTCATTTGATTCATTGCTATGGTAAGAGAGCATCATAGTTATAATTGTATTCCAAGGACTGTATTTCTTATTTTGTGAAAAAAAATTACTTGTTAAAGCATCATGCTTTCATTTCTGGTAGAACTCAAATGTGAAAATGATCACTTACCTTCTCCAAGAGCACACACAAACACTAACTCACTGAAAAGCTGATTTTGAAGGTGACTTCAGAGCTTTGGAAAACATTACTCAAACTGTATTGCATATGTACAGTGTGATGAATAAGAAGTACAAGTCAGATTTGCAAGTAGCGGTGAAACTCAGATTTCAATACAAGTCTGTTAACATGCTAGTTGTATTTTTAGCAAATGATCAGCAAAAAAGCCCATGACAGCTTTTTCCAGTTAATATATTGACAAATGAAAAACATCTGCCACTACATCAGATACTATAGGAACAGATCTCAGTGCCACTAGCTCACAGTGTTTTGAACTAAAATTTCAAATGGAAGGCTCTGCAAGTGTTAACAGAGAGGCTTGGCCGGCTGTCAAACAGAGCAGAGCTCTTCAGGAAGTATTATCTTTCTGAGTAAGAATTGAGAAAAGTCAGATTGTCAGTCTTGCTCAGAGGTGCTAAACAAACCACAGCTGCTATTACTAACTAAAGGAAGCACAAGTGCCCAGGACTTTCTCATAGATAGTTTCTTTTTAGAGAAATAAGAAAAGCTGTTTATATAATTGTCAAGATCTCTGCAACAACTTAAACAAGACATTCTAAAGTAAATAAATAGTAATACACACAATGAAACTACATGAAATGCATCAGAAGTACACAAATAAAGTAAAAGCAGATAATTTAAAACAAAGGAATGTGCAATACCTGTGCAATTACAGCTTCCCTTGTTCCATAATGCTTGTAGAACAGATGATCAGTCTGAATATACAGCTGGCAGGTATTTTTTTCAGCCTGAGTGGCACGCTTTTTTCTTAAAAGCTGTGGACCATCTTTCTTAGGCTCTTCAAAAGGCTTCTACACATGCACAGGAAATAAATACATCACTTTTGTAGACCTACGTGCTTGCCCAAAAATAGCAATGGATTTTTCTAAGCATACTCCACTAATACAAACAGATTTTCATTCTTTTTCTTTAATCCATACAGCTTCATGAATCTTGAATTAAACTAAGTATGTAACAGCCAGGTTTCAAGTATGCCATCTATTTTTAATGATGTCTCAGTCAGACCCTTCTGTGTATTTTGTATTACAAACGGCAGTCGTTGTGAAACACATTTTTTCATCCATGTGATCTTTGGCATTTTTCTTTTTCATAATCCCTTTCCAAGATGAACAAACAGTTTGTAGATTAGAAAAAAAACCAGTGCCGTGGGACTCAAATGCACACTCCCTAACACAGGTTATTTCAAATAACAAACAAGCCATGTTGTGTCGTTTTGTTGGCATATACTTAACTGACACCACAAAACGGTAGCAAAATTTTAAGCAGCTCAGAACATCGCTAACACCAAGAGAAACTCAGTGATTTACTGCTGGAAAATATATATATAAAAAAAATCTAATGTCATGAGAAGTGGTCCAAACCTGAAAGCAAAACACCTGCAGGACTGATCAGGTATGCAAGCTCCTTCCATAGACCGCTTACCTCCCATTAGAGGTAACCTGTTAGCATGCTGTACCCCTTTCAATCTTTCAACATTGCTAATAAGACCCTCCACTCACATCACTTCACTTACCACTGAAAGCACTCAGATATTACAAACGTTACATTAACGTAACTTGAAAATCTAAGAGTTACTACTCTTCAAGGACCAGCATGTAACTTAGAGATCCAGGGATCCTGAAACCCTTCCTTCTCAACTGCAATAAAATACATTCCTCATCACAAGCTTGATTTCCACATTTGCCTACAATTCCCATTGTTGAAAAATTTGAGATCGCATAGGATCCATTAAGACTGTAAGCTAGCACATCTATGCTGTAGAAGCAATGAGAAAAAGAATTTAGAAGAAATATGCAAATAAGAAACCTCTAGCACTAATTTAGGTGCCTCTGAATGTTGAGGGACGACGACTGACCAAAAGTAAGAGACAACATACAAGAAATACGAAGTTATTACACGCATTTCTAATCAACATAACCCGTTAGCCCCTGTTGTACCTCTGTTGTTGGTTCTTCTACAGCAGTCATCTGGTACTTCTGCATTCTTTCAAACACTGAATGATCTGCACAGCCTCCCTGTGGTCCATATTTATGTGGATACTCTAAAAAGAGGAAGGCCAGATTGAGTTTTCAAATTCCAAGAACAAGTGCAAAATAGGGCAGCAGCACTGCAGCTTATGCTGCTCGTGGCCAATATTGATCATGTGCTTTGAGGGAAGCATTCCAAGATTCAAGGTTAATGTGGCTGTCTTTTCATGAAACATTTCTACTAAGATACAGTCTTAGTTTTACAAACGGAACAAAACCAACAACTGCATCTTAACATTGTTTTCTTACAGATAGCAAAAGAAAACATGACAGGCAACACCTAACATAAGAACAAGAGCGATTATGTACACATCTGTACCAACCAGCTTGAACTCAACAGCAGCCTTAAAAAAATTAACTCACAATGGAAAATTACTGGAGATCAAGTATACTAAAGACTGCTTGGATAACACAGGGTTTTTTTCATTCTACTAGGTAAAATAGACCTAAAAAACCTTGCCAACATCCTTGGAGGATTCTGTTAACTTGGCTGAACTTCCACAGAATTTTTGAGAATTTTTATATAATGCAACTCAACTACCAATACATAGAAACTGAAACTCCAACGATCCTAGGTTTCAAACTTTATTATAAAATTCTAGAATTACGACTTTGCTAGCAATTTTATTGAGAAGGTGAAATGTGCAATTTCTATTCTGGAATGTAAACAATACAATTAAGGATAAGAGATCAGGACGTGTACATTTATACGTGTGTGTGTAGATTCAAAACTTACAGAATTACGGTTTATGACATTTACAGATACATGGAAAACTTACAGGCAAAGGAAAACAAGACTGAAGAGAAACATTTTCATCACCTCCTTCCTATAGCTGACTGTTTAAACTAGAAACAACACTGTAGTACTATCTGGGAGCATATCAATTAAACAAGCCTGAGATCCAAGCTCGCTCAGTGAGTATCCTACAACTGGCTGCCTACCAAGGACAATTCCTTCAACACTTGTCAGTGCAGATCTCACTGCACATGGGATTGTGCTTCAGACACACCTGGTTGGGTTTTGACTGTTAGTACCTATTAGACACTGGTAAGCAACTCGCAGAAGCTTCCTCTGGAGATGAGAAGTACTGAAGTGAAGGGGTCTTGCCCCTTCACTTTCTCTGCAGATTGGGTCTCACTATGAACTGGTGCACCAGTAAGAGGCAACGGAGGACAGATTACAGGAGCCACAGGCAGTGCACTTACTTAAGGAACCAGTTTCTGTAGCGAAAACCACAGTTTTACCATCATCTCAACAGAGCGCAGGTTCTGTCAGAAATGCCTAGACTTTACCAAGGTTTGTTGGTTTTGGGGAGTTTTTGTTGTTGGGTTGGTTTTTTGTTTGTTCGTTCGGTGGTTTGATTGTTTAAGAAAGTGTGAAGATCAGAATTACAGAGTAAGTGGAACAGACACACAGGAGTGGATTTATAAAGCCTAAGACCTGGTACTGAGGACCTGATGTCCACATTATATGCACGTCAGGGGATTTTACCCGGGACTAGCTCTAGTGTAGTCCCGTGGAGGCAAAGGGTGTTAGCAGCTGAAGCACGGGAGATGCACTCTTGGGGGATGCACTCTGGTACAGTTTCATCTGACAGTTGCCTTTAATTATCTTTGATTCTCATACCTGTTTCCTGCAGTCACACCGTATGATACTGCTGAACTGTTTCAATACACAAGCACAACTTGCTTCAGATTTTCTCCCTATACCATTAGGCTCTAAACATAGCACTTCAATCATTAAAAGCCAAGGGAAAAATTAAATAGCGAACAAGAATAATAATAAAAAAATGTCCTTGGCATACAGCTAAAGCTAGTTATGAAAAATCCCAGACCATCCAATAGGCGTTTATGCTCCAAAATACTCAAAAACTGGGTTCAGTGCACCCAGCAATTAGCTTAAAAGGACTGATCAAGAAATAGAAGCATTCTTCTAACCTTTATTCCTCTCAATCACACATATTTACAAGTATTTCAGAAGGTCATATTTAACACTTTCTTAAAAACTAGTTAACTGTGTTTAAATTAGCCTTATTTGTCATTAATATACTCTTTTGTCAAACTGGGTCCTTTTCCAGGTACAAGTATTTTACTGCAATCGTAAACTTTGCTCAGTGGGAAAGAACCAGATTCAATAAACATGCTTCTTGGCAAAGGAAGTTTCAGCCTAAAAGTAATTTTAAGATTATAGATGGGTGTTAAACAGTTATTCATTATCTCACTGGCAAGTGAATTTTATCTACCACAAAGGTATCCATGTACGATACTGTATCTCAAAACTTATTTCTAGTCTGAAACAGAAAAGCCGGTCCAACAGACATCAAAATCACTTTTCTTCAGGCAGCTTCATGCCTACTCTGACCAGTGTTTGCCAATGACATCAGCAAAATCTTGATACTGTGTGGGAGGTAATGTGTTTGGGCTTTAATAAGGTTGTTTCTTTAAATTAAGAAGAAAAAAATCCTTTGGAGAGTTAACTACAATGAATGTGCAGTACTTAGGGTTTTGAAAAAATCCCAGACTTCCCAAGGAACTGGTATTTTCCTTTCACTAGGTCACAGAAATGTTAATGAATTACTGTTGTTAGGACCTTGCAAGTTCATTTAATGATTTTCTGTATATTAGTTTCCCACATTTCAATTTCTGTCACCACACAAATACCATTTTTGAACGGCTGTCTCATCACTTTCCTCCCAGTAAGGTCAGCCACAGCACACTGCCAGAAGAACGGAGAGAGAGAAGGAGAGGGGGGAAAAAAGCTCTTAGTGTAAGCCACCTCACCCAGTCTGATTAGCAATGACGTGGAATACTGGCTTTCCTATAACCAATATTAAACAAAAGCACTGCTCCCTCACTGTCGAGGTCATCTGCACTTTCTGGGATCCCGTTTACTATCACTACCTTGTGGTTAAGAGCAAAGGATTATAGATATGTTCCTTCCCTTCTCCACATCCACCACCTTTTTTTCCTCCAACCATAGGATAAAAAACCCCAACCAAAACGACTGTATTTAATCTAACTAAAATTCTCATTATTCATTACCCATTTCACACGGCTGACCACTTATCTCCGTGGCAAAAGCCTGCTACACAAGGGCAGGAATAAGGGACAATGCTGCCTCACCACCAGCACGCTCCATCTACACGAAACCATTGTAACCCTAAAGCAACTCCTGCAGGTGAAAACTGCACAGCATATTTTGCACCAGCACAAAAATGCCATTTTCTGCTCTCACCACACTTCTATTCATATTCGATGGCATTATATTGATTGACAGAACAGTACTAGAAATAAATGCTCTCGGTGCATTACACGAAATAAGCAGTATTTCCTCTGCATCTTGTTTCCCAAAGAGGTTAGAAAATCCCTTAATACATTTTTAATACTGACTGCCTGCTATTTAAACAAATATTTCTCACTTCAAAAGTAATAATCTAGCAAGAAACGCTTTAAATGCATGACGGTTCATAAAGAATTTAACGTGGAACAGTCTGCAACAGCAATTGCCAAGGTTTTGCACGTACTGGATAAGAGAAACCCTCCATGGACAGACTTGAATCCACGCTGCTAAACACAGGGGGCAGGGATCACAGGACAGCTCACTCTGGAACCCTGTCTAGCTTACAGAGAAAGTTGCACACAAAGCCTTCTTTTGATAAATGCTGCATTACCCCCCAGACTGTGAAGGCACCGTTCCCTCATCTGTCGAGGCTCCCTATTTCCACCAGCCCCTGCAGCAGTTCTGTTTCGGGTGCTAAGCAGGAACTTCAAACACGGTGTCAGATGATCCGCACAGTTCAGACCCACATCACAGGGGTCTGGTCCATGCTCCTGTGATGCTTTTCAATGCTTTGAGAGCATTTTAAATACTCGGCCAGCCTTCTGCCAGCTCTTTGGGATCAAGAGCTTCTCTGCCTATGCCTACCACAACCCTGTGACTCGATCACAAGAAAGCACATGCCTTCACCATGAAATGACTGCTTACATGAATGCAGAGCTGAGTTAAAAATAGGGAAAATTCTCAGGCAAAACAAGTATTTATCTTTTCCTGCACTGCCCAGTTGCCCATTTTCCACTTTCAACTTCTGTACATCCTGACAGAATGTTAGTAAACAATGAAATAATAAACCTAAAAACAACAAGAAATCCTGTAATTTCATATTTTCTAAGAGTATTTTATTCTAGCTATAGATGGCAGATGATTATTAATGAGATACACAATTACAGGTGCTCAAAATAAGAATTTTTATCCTTTTAAAAAAGGTACTACCTACCACAAAGGTATTCCTGATCACAAATAATATGATCTGGTAGGCATTTAGGTTAACTACTTAATGCATACTGGATTTGAGCATCTGGGGCAAGGATACGACATCAAACCTCCATTTCAAAAATGATGACAATTCAGTTCTTCAACAGCCATAGAGATTTGCCCGGTACCAGCAAAAGCAATAGTGTCAGAAGGAAATGTAAATTTAAGAAGATACAAAATATCCTCATTACAGCTTTCACTCCAAGCAGTCTGTCACGCTGTGCTCTCATGGCAACTGCCAAGCAGACCTTCCTCATTAAATTGACAACCACCATACGAAAGAAAGACACCAAGATCTCACTAATAATACATAGCTTGCAATGTCCGTTCAACATATAAAGCTTTGCAAAATTACAATACTTCACTTCCTGTTCAGTTATATAGTTCTTCTGAAACCATAAAGACAACTAAATGACCATGTTCATTTTCCTAAAGGTCTGAACAGGGTTTTCCCGTCTCCTGTTGATCTGAGGAAATACCAATTTTGTATCCCTGAGCTCATACCGTAAAAATACATTGAGAGTAGATATGATTTAAATAAAGTAAACATAGTTCCAATGAAATCCAAATCTTCAAAGAAAAGTTTCCAAAATATTGTCATGAAAATAGCAATTTGCGTCTTTCTAGCATTAAATTACAGAACGGTTTGATCAAGAACGGCTTAGAAACTAAAATCATTCAACTTGTGTTTCAAGTCATGAATAGAAGACTGCCTTCCACTGGTCACCACATCCACTGTTAGAGACAAAAGCTGCCTTATAAAGTTGACAATATAATCCCCATTTACAAAAAACCCTTTTGTTTAACTACTGAATAAGAACTCATTGAGATGCTAATCGTATGTTGCATTGTGATTTCTGAAAAGCACTAAAAGCATATTGTTTCAAAAGGCTGAAACACGGGTGAGCAAAAAAAATCCCAAATTAAAGCAAAGATGACTTCTTCGCCCTGTGTCTCCTAAGTTAGAAATGTGACTTTTTTTTCTGCTTTTGTCCCGTGTAAGATACTTGTGGTTGACTCTTTCACAACAGTTAGCTTTCGACTGCAGAAATAACGACGGATTCACATCCTCGTTTTTATTTTTAAAAACTATATGAAGCTTTTAGCAGAAGTTATGGTTTTTTGGAGCTGCAGTTCAGTGCAAAAATAGCTCTCATGAAAAGCAAAAAAATAAAAAAAATTAAGCCTCAAAAGCACTATTCAGCAAGTGACAGAAGAAGTTGTATACTTTAGATATTTCAGACCACAGAAATCCTAGAGGTGTCTAGGATACCAATGAAAAGTTGAACTATAGAACCAGAACGCATGCACACCAGACTCTGCATTGACAGCAACCAACAAGAGCGGCACGTTTTCAAATGGTCCTGCTCAGACCTAGCTCCAGGATGGGCTGTTTGCAGCCTTGTGGAGCCAGCAGCAGTGTTCACTCACTCGGTGATTTGGAAGCCACACTGGACTGCTGATTTAATGTGGCTCTCTGGAACAGATTTAGACATTCCCCTCTGATAATCTGATTTTGTTTCTAACTGATGGTTTTGATGCACAAGTTGCAAGAGGAAAAGCAGCCTAAGCCAACATAGCATCATCTAAATAATTTCTGAAAAATACATATCCTGTTCCCATTCACTTTAATAAGACATTAATATGAACCAAACTTATCATTACCTTTTTCTAGGTCTAAAGCAAGCCATTTACTCTTCCAGCAGAGATCACTTCCACAAAACAGCAACACTAACTTTCAGAAGATCAAGTTATTTGTTTCTTTAAGGTACAGCTCTATTTCTGCCACTGGTTAATAACAACGGAGAGAGTATTTTTAGTCACCCACTATGTACAGCATAAGGAACCAGGACATGAGAATCTTCTTGCTTGTCCTGCCCCTTGGAAATTGGGCAAATCACTTTACTGCCTTATGTCCCTTTACTCACTTCCTCCCCTCTCTTCTACAATAGGGTTAATAAAGCTCTTTGTAAAGCAGACAGGGACTTATTTACAGGAAGTGGCAGTCCAGCATTCTCCCTGTCAAGCAGTGAATTGAACTGTTTGGTGAGACCTATACGACACACCAAAGAATTCAGAAGTATTTGCAAATTATTCACAGAAATGTTAGCACAAGAGACACATCTTACGGTTTCACACCAGGCTTTTCTAAGTTTTTCACTACTTCTCCCCACTTCGCTTCTGTTCCAGTGGCAAACCCTGCACTACTCCAACAGCAGCTAACAAGGCAAACTGCCTTCTCAGACCTCTACCTACAATGCTCTGTAGAGCTGAAAATTCAATGCACGCCGCAATTTCTCTTTGAGAATCAAAGTATGTGGAACACTGTCCTATAAAGTTACTCCATTCTCAAATGTGGGTCCTGTAAACACCAGGAAGATACACATTTAGTCAGTCAGAAAACAAAGGGTAGCTCACAATATACCTAAAATTCAGTAACTGCATTCATTCAGAAGCTCTTTAAAATTAAGCAGCTTCTATTTCATTTTGCATTAATAATCATATTTACAGAATGTGGTAACAGGAAGGACAAACATATCTGCTAGCTCACAATTTTAACATACTCAAAGCCAGGACGCATGGTGCGACTGAATGTAAAATAAAGCTGTATTCCAGAAGCTTTATTCAATTAGAAAAAATACACAAAACTTGCTGAGTTTTTAGCAGAGAAAGATGATTTCTCTTCACTGAGAAAGTAATGCAAGAGAAGTAACCAGAGAGAGTTACTCTGCGCTTTTCACTGGCTTACAGCACAGAGAGAATGATAATATACAAAGCAAAGTCACAACCGGGTACTTTCCTCATCTATCTTCCTATTTTTGACATTTCTTTTCACAATACAGTCTCATTATTACACACTGAAAATTATTTATACATGTATCACCATGACAGTGGTTCACGTAATTTCTACTCATTTAACCCAAGACTCTTCATCCAATTCCAAATGAGATTTCAAACTCAAGTCCTCTAGGATTTGCACAATGGCCTGACGTTACAACTTTTTAAATGAAGTTATCGGTTAAATTAATTTTTAAGCAAGATTTAAGTCCTACATAAAGTTAGCTTGCAACACACAACTTGTTAGCTTCAATAACTAACAGGTAACCTTGAAGTGACCCTCTGCATACATCAACATGGAAGGACTGAAACCTGGAAGCACAACTTTACTGCAGTATTTCTGGGGTTCAGCATCACACAGAACTGATATTTATGACAGCTCAAGCAGGATCATACATAAAAAGGCAGTTAGACTGCAGCAGAACTCTGATGCATCACTTACCACTAAAGCCAGATTCCTGGGGCCATACTCTTCAAATTCAAGTGATACTCTCTGGACACTTCCATCAACTACTGTGTAAGATGGGGCATACTGGGTGCCACCACACCTTCTAAAGAGGTCTCTGAAGGCACCTGTGACCTATGCATGCACGGGGAGCTTTTCTTTCCCACAAATACTACCTTCACTACATGTAAGTAAATGCTTAGTAACTTGAACTTCAATTATCCTTTATTTTGGAGATCATGGGGAAGAACAATCAGTATAGAGCATTTTGAGAATGCATTAATAAAACAAAACAAAAAACCTAAAAATACCACACAAACCAACCATGTATCCATTGAGTAGAAACCAGACCACTCATTTAAGACTGACTGCTAAGGATTTCTTAAAATGGCAGAATAAGGAAGATGCACTTTGGTTTGCCATAAATCTCTCACACTGTAACTGTATAGCCATCACTTCACAACCGCATGATACACAGCATCAGACACAAGCCAAAGCCTTATTTGACGCTTACAAATGGCTTACAGCTTTTGACATTGAATGAAAAAAACATATTTCATCTGTAGCACAACATGGAAGTACTCACTAATATCATCTTCATGATAAATGACAGAGTGGAAAGGTAGAGTTTTGTCCTTAATGTATCTCTCTGCTGGCTCAATATAAAAGGTCCCACTGTGAGTTTGGATGAATCCTTCAAATCTTCCATCAATAACAGACCCATGGCTAAGACTTCCCTGTTCACCTGTTACAGAAAGAAGTGCATTAGTTTTTTTTATACCTAAAAAGCTTTCAGTCCCATGCAAACTTCAAGCATATGAACTATCCAAGGAGACCTTCAGGAAGCAGTTAGATTTCTTTCAGAACCAGACTGTATAAAGAGGGACAGGGTCTTAATCCTTCTCTTTTCAACTGCTTTTAATTCCCTAATTCTCCTTCCTTTAATCAATTGTATCTTCTTTTGTATTTACTGAAATCAAGTACGTTACCCTTGATGGTAGCTCTATATTCCTTGAATTCCTTTAATCTAAGAACAGTACCCGATTTTTTAGTGCACACAGCTTTTTTTTAATGCCTCAAACTTCTATGAAGATCATGTTCATAAACAGAATTGAACTTCAAGTTCCATGGATATGAAAATTAGGTAAAATACTCATATATAACCATCTCAAATGACAAGAAAAGAGGACGGAGTTTAGTTGCATCAGTAAAGTTTAATAATGAAGATAACCTAATCACACAGAGATATTCATTTTCTGGATGTACTATTTAAAAACCTCCCGTTCAAAATGACTGCATTTAAACCATTTGGAAGTGTTGCACTTACCATAAATGTGTCCAGTGTAAATATGGGAGGTATCATAATCGATTACTTGGTTTGATACTTCTACTTTAAAGTCATCACTAAAAAGAGATGTATCTCTCTTCATGCGGAGGTTGAAGTGTCTAAGGTAAATAAAACAAGATGGTAAATTGGCTTTGAGCTTCAGTTACAAAAGCACTAACCAAAGTACCTCTAACCAACATTTCCAGGCAAACAACGTGCAGACCCTGTAGAGCTTATCTACAGAAAATGCTTTCACTGTACAAGAATTAGACCATAGCCTAGAAGGACTTCCTTAAGCAAGATTATTTAGATGCTTTGGATACAAGTAGCTACATTTACAATATTTAAGCCAGACAACAGGGTTAGACTTGAGTGTATAAATCTAAAATGCTGAGTTTGACTATATGCTTGTTCCCATTCCTCCAGAAGAGAGATGTAGCTCAAACGAAAAGCAAATAACCTGGTTGTCTCACAGCTATTTTTAAACAAGTATTTTCTTTGCTGTTCAAACACGCTTGATAGGAACAAGACTGTCTGGACTGTTCACCTTTATAAAAATAAAAAAAATGAAGAAACAAATTTTCCTTAAGTTCTCCCCCACCATAAAAGGGAGGGAGAAGAGAGGCAGCTTGGGGTGGGAAGCAGTGGGAAACAAGTTATCTATTTGTCTATACTTCTAAGAATTAACAACTTTAACAAATCGCCAAACTTTAAACAATGGTAATCGTAAACCCTCACGTATTACACGAAACCTACACTGGAGAAAGTAAATTCTATCTTTTTGGCTACGCAGAGACACATTGATGTACTACTTACAAGCATCAGTTAAATTAACTGCAGACAAAAGATGCCAGTTCACAGGTGGTGTAATGACAGATTCAAACAAATGGACGCCCCTTCTCTTCCCCCCCCAAAAAAATCCTGTTCAACAGCTTCATTTCTCACTGAGAAGCTTCCAAAGACCCCACAAAATCAATTTCAGTATCTCACCCAAAACAGAAGTTTTTCTAACATTTACTCTAAATTTCTTCAAAGTCAGTGTTGCTTGCCCTTCTTGAAAAGAAGATTTGAGACCGCATCTGGACTATTGTGTCCAGTTCTGGGCCCCTCAGTTCAAGAAGGACAGGAACTGCTGGAGAGAGTCCAGCGTAGGGCTACAAAGATGATCAAGGGAGTGGAGCATCTCCCTTCTGAGGAGCGGCTGAGGGAGCTGGGGCTCTTTAGTTTGCAGAAGAGGAGACTGAGGGGAGACCTCATTCATGTTTATAAATATTTAAAGGGTGAGTGTCACGAGGATGGAGGCAGGCTCTTCTCGGTGACAAACAATGATAGGACAAGGGGTAATGGGCACAAGCTGGAACACAGGAGGTTCCACTTAAATTAGAGAAGAAACTTCTTCTCAGTGAGGGTGACAGAGCCCTGGCCCAGGCTGCCCAGAGAGGTTGTGGAGTCTCCTTCTCTGCAGACATTCAAAACCCGCCTGGACGCCTTCCTGTGTAACCTCATCTGGGTGTTCCTGCTCCGGCAGGGGGGTTGGACTGGATGAGCTTTTGAGGTCCCTTCCAATCCCTAACGGTCTGGGATTCTGTGATAAGTTGTTATCCTTCTCAAAACTATGTAGAAGAGAATGCATCTCAGTTTACTTTCTTAGCTTAAATGCAGTAACTTCATCAATTCTTCTGAGGCCAGGAGACTCCAGAGAAGTTCAACAAATTTATCTATACCATTCCTGAATATGGTTTCTAAAGCGAGCCACAACAGAAGAAATGAGAAGCTTCAAATAAGGGCTGGCAGCAGTATGGAATGTGACTTCAGTACAAGGACAGTCTATTTAGGCTCATACTCTTTTCTTCTCAGTAGGAACCAGAAAAATCTTTTTAGCTGTGCCTCCATGAGCCTCCTCAGAAGTCAGGATAACACAGATAACACTGTGCTCAAGGTGCAAGCCTTTTATGCTTAGTTTTCACATTTAAGAAGTGAAAGACTCTGTTCTCTGAAAAATGGAAGAGGGTCTATAAATAGAAGGGGAGAATAATTTGAGCTCTTCTTTCTAACTGCTTCCACACGAGACATCTCAAACTCTAAACTCAGTTCCCACACATTTGTCAGACTCATTCAAACCTGAACTACGTTAAATAGAAGACAGCTTAACAACTTAATGGTGGGCTTAAACTACTCATAAGCTAAGTCTACAGAAACACCACACTTACAGGCTTAATATTATGTTTTACACTGTTTTCACTTACTATTAAACCCACACAACATATTCCATCATCATTTAACTGACAATTCCCATGGTCCTGCTACAGACTCTAACAACAACATGTATTTGAAACAGCACATGATAAGGTCTCCATGTTTATCATTCTTTCTACTACCCACCCAGATGGGTATCATCCTCTATTAAGCATTTATCTAAAAAACCAATTTCTGCAGCGCTGCACTGCTCACCAATCCCAGCTAGCAAGCTTGCAGCTTACGATTGTTTTCCATCAGCACCTCTAGGGTGGCACTTGTGACTGTTCAGAGCTTTCTTTCCTAACCTTCAGAAGTCAGACTTGCTAAGCTAGTTATTCTAGAAGAACACAACTGAGGATGCAGCCTTCATCCTAAACGATTTGCCACTGATTATTCTTGATACACACAGCTGCAAACACATAAGCTAGCAGAAACCATCCAACTAGGATTACAAGTAGCTACATGTTGGCTAATTTACACTCTAAGAATATCAGTCAAGTACCTCTCTGTCCCAAAGGGCACGGTGTACAGATTTTAAGAGCAGAATGGTCTTTACCTACAGTTATTTTTTTTTCCTTTCAGTAAAATTTCTTTGGGAAGTTAAGTGCAGATTCTGTCACCTGATTTCCTGCTTATCCAAAATAACATTCGTATTTGTGTTTACATGAAGTTGAATATTTACATACAGTGCCACCTTCTAACACAATTAAAAAACATGAGACCAAAAAATAACACGTACAGCTGTACTAGAATAAAAATCACAAGGTATCAAAGTTACTATGTGCATTCAAACTAAGAAACTACTTTAGAAAGAAACCTTCTTAGTGAAGGAAAGAAACACATAGAAAGAAACCTGCTAGCCAGTAATATGAGCACATATGAAATGAAAGCACTTAAGCTGCGTGCTCAAGTCTACTGCTTTTCATTTTAAGAACATGGCTTCTTGAAAACATGGCTATGTTGATGAAGTCGCAATCATGATGAGAAAAACTTATCTATGCAGTTGCAGATAAGCAGGCACTTCTTTATTTGCAGCGCTGGGGAACACAGAGGGTAGCCCCTCAAAGGTGTGTTCCAACACCCATACAATTTCACAGACTATACATTCTCTAACGATAGCAGAATCATATGAGCATGCATAAGATGATCACCTTTTACTACTCCCCTCACCCTGATTGGTTCCCCGTCTTATACCCATCTTAAGCACCTGTATACACATATCCCACCATGGCCTATTCTTCTTATACCCGTCCTGAACACCTGTATACACATTTACCTCCGTGGTCCATTCTTCTCACTTTGTAGAGGTCAAAGTAATCTTTAGCTCTACTGTTAAGACAAAGGTCTACTTTAGCCAGCTAAAATTTCTTATGCCTATAACAGCTATGTCTGCTGAAGTATGTTGGTCAAGGAACAAAGTTCTAGAGCATTAATATCAATTTTAACAGTACAGCTGGGAAACCCTGTGCCACAGCTGGGCACTCTCACCAGTCCGATAGCAATGTACCAAGTGTTTCCTAAACAAATTCAAGTGAAACAATAAATGCCTTTTTTCCTGAGCACTACACGTATTCCAGCTCACTGTATTTAAACCCATAAAATGCAAGACATTTAACCCACAGACTAAATTTTTTTAAAAATAATTTCATTTTAAAAAAATGAGCAAGAACTCAGGTCCCTGCCTCCCCATTCTCTGCAAGACAAAAATGCTTTACCTGCAAGCACCAACACAGAATGGGTTGGTTTGTTTTTGACAAAACATGCGTAGAAAGTGAGCCTAGCAAGTTGTTTGTCAGGGTATGGAACTTAAAAGTTACAATAGATATAGATAGGAGATGATTGAAGAGAAGTCACAGAGCACTAATAAAGCTGAATAGACTACAGTAAGAACTGAAGAGATTCTAAGGGTTTGGTTTTGGTGGTTTTTTTTTCCTTTTACATTTAGGGCAGCCTAAAATGAGTTAGTTAGCAAACCTTGCAAACAAATCACTTAGTAAAATTAATGGAAATAATTTACGTAAGCCTCACAGAAGCCAACCAATCGGTCCTATTTTATGACCTCTAAAGCAATCTATTTAAGAAGTTAGTCAGTTTAGGAGAGTGTTTAAGTGCACATGAAACTGAAAAGAAAACAAATTTTCAAGATTTGTCCAGCAACAGTGAATCTGTTTTATGTTCTAACAGACACACAGAAAGTAGAAGACAAAGCCATTTCATGAATTAAGTAGTATGGTGAGTGCACAATTACAAAAGTACTTAAAATAAATTAAATGCCATAAAAAGAACATTTAGTGTTTAATAAAAAACAGAAGGTGGCAATATAAAGTCCTCTCTAATGAAAGCGTAACTAGCTCAATTACTTCAGTCCACCTCAGACAGCGTGGCAGCGCGCTCAGAACGTCGCCTTTGAAATTCAACATATCAAACAGGCAGGTAGCGTCCCCTTTTCATAATCTACTCAAATACAGACAACAATTGTCTTATTTAAACACAAACATTAAACAGCTCTGAATAAGGATGGCAATGTAAAAGATCAGAGGTTACTATAGAACCAAGAATAAAAAAACCTCGTGATTAAGAACTCTGAAATTTTGTGGTCCACTTTGGCCACTCACGACTGTACCAGAAAGCTCAATTAATATATGGCTGACAGCTGTCCAAAATTCTTATGAAAAAGATATCGGCACAGAAAATCAATACTAAAGCCAAGGAGTAAACAGTGCTTCACAAGTTTGTCTTGCCAGATGGTGCAGTGAGCGCAGATTAAGACCCAAAGTCACACCATTTCAAAACATGCAAGCTCTCATTGTTACAAAAGTTCCTCTGCTCAGTGCAAAAATACTGTAAAAGACAGTGGAATAGTTAAGAACCAAACAGTTAT